TGTGGTGGCTCTTTTTGATGCTCACAATATCTCAGTTGTTGACTTGTCTGTTCAGATTCTGCTGATTCTGGAGAACATATATTTGGTGTTACAACCAGCTCTGTAGGAGAAAGGGGAAGCAACGTAAAACAATGTCTCTTCACAACTAGACCTGGGGAATGTCTGGTTTAGTAGACACACACACACACACACACACACACACACACACACACACACACACACACACACACACACACACACACACACACACACACACACACACACCACACACACACACCACACACACACACTCACAGTCTTCTTAAGCAACATCTGTTTGTGCATTCAGGCTGGATGTTCCAAAACAAACACCCGTCTTCTGAAGCATATCATACATTTATTACAAAAATAGAAACTTCTGCTTTTGGTGTGTGTGTGTGTGTGTGTGTGTGTGTGTGTGTGTGTGTGTGTGTGTGGCTACTAAACTAGACATTCCCCAGGTAAAGATAAAGTCCGTCAAAAACCACACTCTACAGCCTAAAACGTGTTATTTGTTGTCACTGCAGCCTATGTACTCATGCATAAACAAAAGTCAGCATGTGTAGAAGAATAACATACCCAAATTTGTACTTTTTAAATTGTGCATACCATGATTCAAACACAAGTTGGTAAATGGATGAATTAATGATTGAAACAAAGTCCCTGTTGAGCCTAAATATTGCAGCAAGTCACATTTATCATTTGTTCTTTTTACGTTGAGGAAAGTGAAGCAGCTGGTAAAAGGTTTGCTCTCATAATAAAACATGAGTATGACATGAGTACTTTTTGAATTGTATAACATGTTATTAATGAATGACTTGGTCATTACAAATGTAGCTTTAATGTCTCCTTAATCTTTGAGTCATTGCTATGTGCGCATATCTTGTTGTTGAGACTCGACAAAAGTATACCAGGTAACGCTGCCAATCGCTGCTTTGAAATTTGGACTTCTGCTTTCTACCTTGAAACAATATCTGTCAGGTTTCATGATCAGGAAGTGAGGGCTGTCTGCTAAACAAAACTGCATTGTTTGTTGATTCTTTGAACAACAAGGCACCAAAGGTATGGATGTGTTGATCTACGAGGATCAGGTTACTGTATCATTTTAATGCAATAGACATTAATGTTGCAGCAGGAAGCATCGATCCTCACAGTAATCACAATAACACCAACGTTGTAGTGATGACATTGCACTTAGCTCTGGTATATTAAGCATTTTTACTATCAGAGTGCTGTGGCTCCACACATGATATTATAAGCACTATTTAAGTTAATCTCCCATGTTTGCTGTGAGTCACTGTTTGATGCATTGTTGATATTGATGTTGGTGATTTTTAAGCTTCTCTTGATCAAATTAAAATGACGGATGGAGTTTTGTTGAATGTAAAATGGGAAACACTGAGTGATGGAGGAGAATACAGTTAGTGTCTTTACTGGAAGTTAAAGCGATGATGGATAAAAGACACTGGAAGACAATAACCTACTCTCTCACTGGTTTTCACTTATAATGAACAAGACTGCTGAGTAAGTCCTTACCCAAGAGGTAATAGTGTAAAATGTAGAACTCAATAACAATACAATAAACACAATAAATGGTGTGTATAAAGAAGTAGAACCCAACTTTTTATTGGTGGTTTAACACTGGATTTGTTAGCGAGTGGTACACTGTGTTCATAAAGGGATGGACATGGTCAGCAACAACACTCAGGTCGGCTGTGTTGTTTAAACCAGTGGTTCTCAACCTTTTTACACCAAGTACCACCTGAGAAAATAGTTGGCTCTCCAAGTGCCACCATATGACCAATGAAAATAAAAAAAATAAAAAAATACAGTCTATGCACAGTTCATGCAGGACTGTAATGTATGTGGCAAATGTATTCATAATAACATTATGTATTGTGCTCTCTCTCTCTCTCTCACACTCACACACCACAAGGGAGAATATAAAGAACAAAATAAAAACGTATTCTCATACAACAAATGTCAACTGTACACACATGTCATTTCCTGGACCTATACCAAAGTGTGAATGTAGGCCTCCTGCAACAACCCACATTGTAACAGAAAATGTCCTATTGGGAATTCAGTTCCACAATAACAATGAAGCCTCCAGGAGCAGATGAGCCTAAGGGCTAATAGCTCATCTTCAGTCTGCTGATGTTTGCTATTGCCATTTCTGTGGTGGCAAAGTAAAAAAGAAAAGAAAAAAGATAACAATTAAGGACAAGTGTGTGCTTTTTCAGCTTTTGACCTCGGTCACAGCCTTCTCTCCATTCTTTGCGCAAATGCCTTCTTCCTGAGTCACTTCTCTCCGCCATCACAGCGTTGTGGCTGTGCATATCACTTTTGTGTTGCTGGCGGAGCCTGCGCTTGTGCTCGATTGATGACTGTCCTCCTCCTCATTCACTTGTTCACTTTCGCTGGTAATATTCTCCTCTGTACCTCTCTTCCGAATACCTCCCGTTTTGAGCCACGTTTTTTAACATCATTCAGCTTTCTTCTTTCTTTAGCTTGCTTGCAACGTTCGCTAATCGTTCGCGGGTAGTAAGGTCGTAATTAGCAACGCCAGAAATACATTTAAAAAAATGTTTCGTTTATAAATCTAAAAACAACAATAGCCTATTAGAACTAATTTAAACCACATTTTCAATTATCTCAAGCTTATTTTCATTCGTTGTAGTATTTTGATAGAATGATTTATTTTGTAATTAATGTTATTCAATCAAGCCTCAAACTGATGTCAAATCAAATCAAGTTTTATTTATATAGCACATTTATAGACGATTTTTGGTCGAGCCAAAGTGCTGTACATATAATAAAAATAGCCTACAGTAGAGACACTTTACAGAAAATACAACAGCACAGATTGTTCAGAATATCAGTATGAGAAAAACGACACCCTCTATCCTTAGACCCTCACATCGTACAAGGAAAAACTTCCAGAGAAAACCCACAGTTTAAGGGGAAAACATGGAGAAACCTCAGGGAGAGCAACAGAGGAGGGATCCCTCTCCCAGGACGGACAGACGTGCAATAGATGCCGTGTGTAAATCGAAGAGATAATACATTTTACAGCATATAGACCGAATGTTAGGAAATGCATGTGTCTGTAATAAGAAGATGAATCCACGAGGATGTCAGCTACAATCCTGAGGAAGCCATCAGGGAAGCAGCATGACGAGATCCAAGGCAGGACCGCAGAGACAGGTTCAGCCACGACCCGAAGTCCACGACTTAATCCAGAACTCAGGATAGAGGATCCAAGACACAGGACTACAGCAAGAGGATCAGCCTCGACTCCGGATCCCGGCGTCGTTGTTGTCCCTATAGCCTGTTTTAAATTGAAGTTGTCTGAGGTCCTTACCATCAGCTGCTCTTGCAGTAATAAGTAGTGTACCTTAATGTCCCAAATGTGCACAATGTAGTGACTGCTTTTCGTCTTTTTGTTTACTTAGTTGTGTTTCCTGTATTTTATATGTCTGTGTTATGTGTAAAGGTTAAAGGTGGGGTAGGTAAGTTTGAGAAACCGGCTCGAGATACACTTTTTGTTATATTCCACGGAATGCTCTTAACATCCCGATAGCAATGAATATCTTAAGTGCTTTGACAAAAAATCCATAAAAAAATGTCATCTGTGGAAGCCGTAGCGCTGTAAAAAGCACGACCAATCATCTGAGCCGGTCCGGCTAAAATAACTGGATAGCCTACCTGCCAGTCAGCCTTCCATCTGTGCACAAACTTATCTCGTGCCCTCATTGGTCATGTGCACGTTCGTGTGTGTTGGAGGAGGGGCTCTGTAAGGAAGTGGCAGATTTTTTCCGGTTGTGTGTTTTCAAATTCTAGCGCACTCGAGCTGCTTTCTCCAAAATTACCTACTCCACCTTTAAATTAAAAAAATGTTTTATTTTTTATTTTAATATTTTGTATATGTCAGATTCCTCCACGTACCACTAGCGGGAGCTGGCGTTCCACCAGTGGTACGCGTACCACAGGTTGAGAACCACTGGTTTAAACCATGCTCAATTGGTACTATTGGCCCAAAGTATGCCAAGAAAATATCCCCCGGCCCACACCTTTACACCAGCCTGAACCGTTGGATGGATCCATCATGCTTTCATGTTGTTTGCGCCGAATTCTGACCCTACCGTCCGAATGTAGCAGCAGAAATCGAGACTCATCATACCAGGCAACATTTTTTCAATCTTCTAGTCTTGGGGAGCCCGTGTGAATTGTAGCCTCAGTTTCCTGTTCTTAGCTGACAGAATTTGCACCCGGTGTGGTCTTCTGCTGCTGTAGCCCATCTGCTTCAAGGTTTCCTATGTTGTGCATTCAGAGAGGGTCTTCTGCATACCTTGGTTGAAACTAGTGGTTATTTGAGTTACTGTTGCCTTTCTATCATCTTAAACCAGTCCATTCTCCTCTGACCTCTGGCATCAACAAGGCATTTTCTCCCAGAGAACTGCCGCACACTGGATATTTTCCCTTTTTCGGACCATTCTCTGTAAACCTTAGAGATGCTTGTGTGTGATAATCCCAGTAGATCAGCAGTTTCTGAAACAGACCAGCCCGTCTGGCCCTTAAATCACCTTTTCTTACCAATTCTGATGCTCTGTTTGAACTTCATCAGGTCGTCTTGACCATGTCTAAATGCATTGAGTTGCTGCCATGTGATTGGCTGATTTAGATATTTGCATTAATGGGCGATTGAACATGTGTACCCAATAAAGCAGCCAGTGAGTGTATTATAGCTCTTGTCTTCCTGGCAAAAAAAGGTTGATCCTGATTAAGTCAAATTATATCCAAAAGTTTAAAAACATTAATGGTGTTGTGTGTACTTTATATCAACAGCACCTTTTCTCATTCTCACCTCATGTCAATATGAATCTTACAAGAAATACATATGAGAAATTGAATCATTCTCCTGCACATTTTTTATAAAAATAAAATAATGTAACTATGTTGTATTTGTGTCTCTTCTGCAGCACTACTTCCTGGTGGTTTTTGGCCACGATGGACAGAAACCTCTGGAGCTGCGGACGGAGGAAGAGTCCGACTGCAACGAGTGGGTGGAGTCTGTGCAGCAGGCCAGGTAAAACACTAAATAAAGAATTTCTCTAAGGTTTAATTTTATAGTGGTGTACTTTTATTCAGTAGTGTACTTGATTTTGTACAACATATTATATTTCTACCTCAAGATGCAACAACAGTAAACAGCTTAAAGTTCCAGTACTAACAAACTAATAATAAAAGAATCAGACATCAGTAACTGGCAACATTTTAATGCAGAACCAGTACTTTACCTGTAATGGAGTATGTTATGTTGTGATATTAATACTTTTACTAAGGTAAAGGATCTGAATACTTCATCCACCATGGTCATCTCCTTACAAATGAAGTGTTTTTCATACACAACACACAGTTATTCTTTATCTTTCATGACATAAGGTGTTGAATAACTCTGTTTTTCTACTCTCTGCTTGGCTTTTGTGCTGATGCACGTTTGACATAACGACCACGTGTTATTCCATAGTTGTTTAACATCTAAGAGTGTGTGTGGTGTGTGTGTGAACGTGGACGTGTTCTGCTCGCAGCGGTTCACATTTAGGTCACACTGGTGCTGTATGGCTACACCGGTTACATCACAGACCTGATCTAGCCACTCGACCTCTAGTCCTCTCTTTTCACTCTGTTTATTTCTCTATGTGAACATTCAGGAGAAAATATAAAGCAAACCAGCTTTATTTCATATTTCAGGAAGACATATCACACATAATGTCAGGTGTTCACTTGTTGACAGAGAGAAGAAGTTCTCAGATACCTAAAAGTAAATAAAAAATATAAATAAAGGCATTAAACTCTTGTCTAAAAATACTCAACATAAAAGTCTAATGAACTTATGGTAGCCTATCAGAAGTAAAAGTACTCATTGCTCAGAATTGCTCCTTTCATAGTATATCATTATCATAGAATAATATTCCGTTTTTTTTTACTAACACCTTGAGTAGAAGTATAACGTTTCTTACATTTATAAAAACACTCAAGTAAAGTACACTTAGGTCAAATTGTACTTGCTTAAGTACAGTATTTAGGTAAAAAATACTATATAACATATACAAACATGCATTCAAAGTACAGTACTTGAATAAGTAAGTGTTTTTATTCATATCTTAGTATAATCAGCAAAATACACTTCATCAAATCAAAAGTACTCATAATGCAGAATGTGTCCTTTGGCCTTTTTGTTATTATAAAATATTATAATATGTTAAGAGCCAATTTGAGGCATATTATATATATATATATATACATATATTTCTTTTAAATAACTAAGTGTTAAGTACATTTAGAGTAGTAAAGAGTTCAATCATTCCCTCTGAATTTGATTGGAGTAAGAGTATTGGGTAAAAGAAAATGTAAATACAATTCCAGTTTGTGATAAACATGTCAGATGAATCTCTTGGTTTGTTTTATTTATCTCACACACATCTCGTTTCCCCACTTGCTTGCTGTAGTTACTCTGACATCATCATCGAGCGTGAGATCCTGATGCAGAAGTACATCCACCTGGTGCAGATCATGGAGACGGAGAAGATCGCAGCCAATCAGCTCCGCACTCAGCTGGAGGACCAGGACACGGAGATCGAGAGGCTCAAAGCTGAGGTATGCATGAGTGCATCCACATCTGCGTGTGCATGCATACATAAAACACACACACACACACACACACACACACACACACGCACACACACACACACACACACACACACACACACACACACACACACACACACACACGGATGCAGATCAAAGCATGCAATGCATCATGCATGATGGGAAAACACTTGAGTTTGGAGCACATGTGTCTCTTAAATGTAAACACAGCAGGGCTCCAGTGATTCCCAGAACATTACTTCCTGATCATGCATCAACATATTTGTTGTTTTCAGCCTCTAAAGCTGTTTCATGAATGTTTTAACCTCTGGGCCCGTGTATTCACATGGAGACTGTTGTTGCCAGATTGTTATGATGAACAAAACCAAGGAGAGGATGCTGCCTTACCACAACAACCAAGAGGAGGAAGACCCAGATATTAAAAAGATCAAAAAGGTATATTGATGGTTTCTAGTGCTGGAATGCAGTTTCCACAATGCCTTTCCTCAACTACTGTACTTGAGTTTATATTCAAGGTAGTTTGCTTGTATATTTCCTTGTAATACAACAGAGAGACATATTTTGAGTTTTACTCTACTTCATTATCTGAGCTTTAGATAGTTAATAATGTTGTATACCCTTCCTGTCCAGTGTTAACCATGTATCTGCAGATGTGTTGATCTTTGTTGCAATATTCTGAAGAACTCAATATTCCTTAATTCTTCTACTTAAACAATAAATAAACAATTTGAAAACCTATTTAAAAAATCAGCTCTGTTATGATCTCATAAAGAAATGTTACTTTAAAGGTCGTTCTCACAAGACAGCAACACCACAAACATATGATGATTGTATAGAATATGATGAATTGCCATAGATTTAACCATCTATAAGTATAGAAAGGCATTCAAAATAGCACAACCTTTACAATTTTAAGCATTAAAATATAACATACACACAAGTGCAGAAGTAATATCTATCCAAACATATTATAACGATAGTTAAATACTGCACAATTGCCCCTTTATGTACATCTTGCTTACACATACTTTACTTAAGTAAGGTTTTGAATGCAATACTTTTAATTGTAGTGGAGAATTTTAACAGTGTGATTTTATGTCCTCCACTAAAGCAAAGGATCTAAATACTTCTGCCAGCTTTGTTTACTTCACAAAATAACGATCTTATTGTGCTGTGGCTGTGCAGGTTCAGAGCTTCATGCGAGGCTGGCTGTGTCGGAGGAAGTGGAAGATCATCGTCCAGGACTACATCTCCTCCCCTCACGCTGAGAGCATGAGGAAGAGGAACCAGATCGTCTTCAACATGGTGGAGGCAGAGACAGAGTACGTCCACCAGCTCTCCATCCTCGTCAACTGTTTCCTGCGGCCGCTCCGCATGGCGGCCAGCTCCAAGAAACCTCCCATCAACCACGATAACGTCAGCACCATCTTCCTAAACAGGTATCTTATTATAATTGACTGTTCATTTGAAGTGAATACTATCTCTAATAGTTGATAGTTACAATAAGCATCTCTCCCTCTGTAGTGAGACCATCATGTTTTTGCACGAGATCTTCCATCAAGGTCTGAATGCTCGGATCGCCAACTGGCCCACTCTAGTTCTTGGTGAGTCCTGCGCTACACTTTTGGCTGATTTAATTACAATTTGCATATGGGTTACATCCCTGCAAACCCTTTTGACATCACTGATTTCCAAACTTGCTGTATCAAATTCCCTGCAGTATGAACAAAAATACATTTGAAAAACATTTGACATATTTATCACATTTAGATATCATCTCACATGTGAAAAAAAAACAGAAATGATAAAAACTTTACTGTTTTCTGGGGTGGATAAAGTAACGAAGAAAATCAGTTTAAACCATTATGTCCTGTTAAAAGCTGCTTACTTTATGATTATTATGATTTTTGATCTCAAAGTTAATATTTGAGTTGTTTGTTTTTCACGCGCAGCGGACCTGTTTGACATCCTGCTGCCAATGCTGAACATCTACCAGGAGTTTGTGCGTAACCACCAGTACAGCCTGCAGGTTCTGGCTAACTGTAAGCAGAACAGAGACTTCGACAAGCTGCTCAAACAGTACGAGTCCAACGCTGCCTGTGAGGGCCGCATGCTGGAGACCTTCCTCACCTACCCCATGTTCCAGGTGAGCTAGTGCACACTACATAGTACGTTTACTCATGTACAATACGCAAGTACACATTGAGGTTCTTTTACTTGAGTAATTCATGCATCTTTATACTTTTACATCACTTTTGAATTAATGTATTCTTAATTTAAGTACTTTTGAGTCAACTACAGCTTTAGATAATTTCAGATTTCTATTTTTCTGTCCGGATAACACAGCGTCTCTTCAAATGTGTGGATTTTGAATGGCATGAAAATGACTACTTCTAATTTAAATTAACTTTTTTAATCAGCTGGCAAATACATCCCCGCAAAGCTGAAAACCTGGTGTTTTTTTCTTAACTATCACGACAACGTACACATTAATGTAACAGTAACATTAATCCTAAAACATAAAATATAAAGACCTGAAACAATGACAGGCAACATATGATTGCCTTCTTTTACTTTTCGTGCTGTATATACTTTCTGTTAAATATTAACACATTACATTACCTTTCACTGATTCAAATACCCTCTTATATACGATGTTCAAAAAGCAGCTCGCACTTTTTATCGTCGTCAATTGAGACAAAGCTGACGAAGACAATTGTTGTGTGTATTTCAGATTCCACGGTACATCATCACTCTTCATGAGCTGCTGGCTCACACACCTCATGAGCATGTGGAGCGAAAGAGTCTGGAGTTTGCCAAATCCAAACTGGAGGAGCTGTCGAAGTGAGTGTCAGAACATCATGCAGATAACAATAGTGATGGATGGTAATTGGTGGTGATGATGATGAAGATGATTTGTGTTGTCAGGATGATGCACGATGAGGTGAGCGACACTGAGAACATCAGGAAGAATCTGGCCATAGAGAGGATGATTGTAGAGGGCTGTGACATCCTTTTAGACACCAGTCAGACTTTTGTCAGACAAGGTGAGCTTCTTCTACAGCACCTGTTGTAAAAAAACAACATTTTATTCCACCACCTTCCTCTCACTCCCGTCTGTCTCCATGAACAGGCTCTCTCATCCAGCTGCCGTCCAGCAGCGAGCGGGGGATGCTCAGTAAAGTCCGCCTGGGCTCCCTCTCTCTGAGGAAGGAAGGAGAGCGCCAGTGTTTCCTCTTCACCAAACACTTCCTCATCTGTACACGAACATCTGGAGGAAAGCTTCACCTGCTGAAGGTCAGCCTCATCTGTCTGGATATATTTATCCAAACATGGTTGAAGTTATAGTTTACTACTTTGAAATCACTTTAATTTTCTTCTAAAACTAGTGAAACCACTTCCTGGTGAGATTGTATTTCAATGCAAATCAAATAATGAATTTGCCTTGTAACATCTTCTCTCCCCCAACAGCAAGGAGGCACGTTGTCTCTGATAGAGTGCACCCTAATTGAAGAACTAGAGGCCAATGATGAGGACTGTGAGTATCCTTCATACCAAACCATTTGTTGTTTCTTTTTTTAACGTTATTTGTTGTTAACTGAGGCTTGGACCTTTGGATGCAGACAATGCAGCAGGTCAAGGCTTCAACCACCTGGAGTTTAAGGTCGTGGTGGAGCCTCCTGACGGTCAGGCCTTCTCTGTCGTCCTCTTGGCTCCTTCACGCCAAGAAAAGGCCGCCTGGACCAGTGATATCAGCCAGGTATGTCTGACTGTTTTAAAGCTGGTAGCCATCTCTCAAATGCTAGATAAAAGAGGACCAAAGTGTCTACTAACCTTTGTTTCAGTGTATCGATAATATCCGATGTAACGGCCTGATGACCAGCGTCTTTGAGGAGAACTCCAAAGTATCCGTGCCGCACATGATCAAGTAAGAAAAAAGGGAATTCTGATGGTCTAAGAAACATATAGAACATGAAGAGGCTTACAATTAGCAGCAGTGACAATTACACAGCTCAATAATCTCTATGTATTTGAGCCCCTTCAAAAGTTTACATTACAAATATATGGCTCACTAAGGTTCCAAATGTGGATGAATCCACTGCAGATTGCATTATACCTTCCTTTTTGTTTAAAATGTGCTAAAAAGCTGTTTTATGTAAAAAAAAATTAAAACCCATTTGTATGAGTTATCTTTCAAGTAGAGTTGAGTTTAAAGTAGAGCTGATTTTAAGAATTTCCTCATCCTTTACTTTTTTTTTGCCAAGATCCGATGCCCGTCTGCATAAAGACGACATCGACATCTGCTTCAGTAAGACCCTGAACTCCTGTAAGGTCCCTCAGATCCGGTATGCCAGTGTGGAGCGGCTGCTGGAGCGACTCACTGACCTGCGCTTCCTCTCCATCGACTTCCTGAACACCTTCCTCCACACCTACAGGATCTTCACCACGGCGGCCGTCGTCATCGACAAGCTGGCCGACATCTACAGGAAGCCGTTCACCTCCATTCCCGTCAGGTACATAACACTGTGTCAAGCTGTAACACCTGCACATACTGTAGGCTACCATAACATTTACTTAAGTACTGTACTAAATTACTAAACTAATGAACCAGTACACCATGCAACAAAGTTTGTTCATGGAAAAAAATCTAATTGTTTCATGGTTCCAGATTTACAAATGCAAATAAATCCTTCATTTCGTTTTAGTAATTGTACTGTATTTATAATAACATTGAGGTTTATTAAGAAACATTTTCACGGTGTCACATTGACAGAATTGCTCATCTTTTCACAAACCAAATGGTAAATTGATTAATTGAGAAAATAAGCAGCATCCATATTGAAATAAAGATAATTTAAGATAAACCTTTATTAATCTAGGAAATCAGTACATGCTTTTTCTCAAGAAGTATTTTTAATGCTGGACTTTTGCTTGCTGTAAACTGTTAATAGTACTTTAAATTAAGTTAAACAATTTTAAATACTTCCTCCACCGCAGCATCACTGTGTTAATTTGTTTGCACACATTCATCCATCCTCATTGTCCTTCCCTCTCCTCTCATGTAACGGACTCATCCTGCAGTGCATTCACTCCATCTCCATGTTGTTCTTCATCCTCCTCATTATTCACCTCCTTTCTTCATCTATCTCTCTGCCATACTCCTCCTCTTCCTGTCACTGTCCCAGGATCGAGCGGCTTTCATGTGACCGTCTGTCCATCATGTCCCTCTGTCCTGACTACAGTCTGAAGATCACACAGCTGGCCCTGGACCAGTCCAAGTAATGCCCATCAGTAGAGAGTAGTGCTGGGGGGAAACGATTATTTTGAAAACGATTAATCGGGCGATTATTTGATCGATTAGTTGACTAATCGAACGATTATTTTTCTGTTGTTCAATTCATAAAAAACGTAATGTAAAAAAAAAAATGTTCACGATACTGTGTCTCAGGGGATCTTAATATTTAAGAACCTATTAATGTGTTATACCAGATTAACGGAAATAATCTCAGCTAACTAACGATACAAACCATGTTTACCAACACAAAACAAAACACAAGTCTAATAAGAAGCAAACTAAAATGCTATCTAAATGACCCCTGAGCGAAAAATGCTAACGAACATTGGCACAGAACTCAAGATAAAAGTACCCTTATTACTTATCGTAGCTGCACATACAAGATATCCGATTAAAGCTGAGACTCCACAGATTATGTAGGTACATAGTGTCATCACTGAGTGATCCGGACTCGCGACAGGGGAAGCAAATACAGTCATCACAACACGTACCTTCACAGAGCTTCTAGGGAGATCGTCTCACCACCGTAGCTATCAATCTGATCAAAATACGTGTTCAATGGCATTAAAATGAGAAAAAACGCGGCTGAATCGGTTAATCCATAGGTTTTTAACGTCTATGTATACAAAAATTATTGAATTTATAATCCATAATTCCATTTTTATGTAAAAATCGGAGAGCAAATGCTAGCTGCTAATGGTTGCCACCACAGCTAGCTGCTGCTTCCGGTCAAGCAGCAGTCTCAGTGAGATATAAATATATAAATATCTTTGCGTTTTGGACTAACTTTAAAATATTCCCATGCTTTTGAAGACCTAGGGCGAGATGTTTTCGTTTGAGGGCTTCGTGCGCAATCCTGTGAGGAGGAGGTGATAGCCGTTTCAGTCTCCATTGTGTTAGAAGTGCGATTGCGAACTGCTTGTTGCTTTGGGTGACCCACGTGTGGGTGGCGACCATATATACAGTCTATGGTGGCGACGCGTCGACGCGGAAATATGTCGTCCACGATATTTTGAAGTCGACGTCGTCGACGCGTCGCTACAGCACTAGTAGAGAGAGAGCTCAGTCGGCGTTTTTCAGGGACACATCTACAGATCCTCTCTCTTTGTCTCTCAGGTCTCTGGAGCTCTTCTTCGCCACCAACCAGGGCTCATGGGGGACGGACCCTCTGAACAACAAATCCCCGAGGCTGATCCGCAAGTTTTCCTCTCCTCCGCCCCTCATCCTCTCCTCCCGCACCTCCTCCCCCGTCCACTGCCGCAAGCTCTCCCTCAATTGCCCCATCAGTGGAAAACCAGGAGTCTTGGATGTGTCCCCCACCTCTTCTGCAGCCAACTCCCCCACCTTCAGTCACTGCCCCTCCATCTCCTCCCCTCCTCCCAACTCACCCAGGCCTACCTCTGGCTTTTTCTCCTCTCTGCCCACCACCCCGCACTCTCCCAGCCTCCCCCATGCCTCCGGAGTTTCCTCCCCGCCCCCCACCTCCACCAAGGCCCCCATGGACTTCAGCCGCGGTCCCGGGTCCCCAGAGCCGAGCCCAGCTGTCGGGGAGGACGTCAGCGGAGAGCTGCCTCGCTTAGACGCCTTCTGTGGGAAGCTGAGGCGCAGCATCCGCAGGGGTGTGTAGCTGGAGCACAGAGCATATGATTCACACTCTGCAGTCTCATGTGAATATCAGGCACACAACTGTTCCAGAAATATGGTTTAGAAACAGGTAAAAGCAGAGTTTAGGTGGCTCTGCGATCTAGTGCAAAGCTAAGTGACTTCAAAGTCTGCGTTAATACAACTTCTTTATAAGATATTTTACACTTAAATCTGACAAAGCTCTGATAGTGGCCCGCCAACCCAAATAGAGAGACACAGAAATGGGTCACTGTTACCCAACGGAGGAATAATCGTGCTCTTGGATCACCATCTGGCTCCAGCAGACAGCTTATTCACTATAAAAGCAGCGGCAGAGCACCAGGTCAGAAAATGTCTGACAACAAATTAGGAGGAGAGAAAGAAATGAAGAGATAAACTTAGCTCTTACGTGGCAGCTGGAGTGTCTCCTAAGAGGAAAATGACGTATTGAATGGATGAGCCCTCCAACAAAACCCAAAATACCTCAGATTAGGACCAAGTAAGCCAAAAATAGACATGAGCCAGAGCCTGTTTAAAGTTATATTGTTGAATTGTTTTTTGTATCCACTCTACTGTAATTTCTCACATTTTCTGAATTTTACCAAACCATGTTTAGAATAAGAATGAAGTATTGTAATATCATGTTGCAAATGTTTGAGCTCTCTCTTTCCTTTACCGTAAAAGTTGTTCTGGAGTCAGTTTCTATGGACAAGTTTCTCCCTGAAACACCGGCAAGCAGCGAGCCGGGCGACATGTCTCCCTGCCGCTCGCCTTCAACACCGAGACACCTCCGCTTCAGACAGTCAGGAGGTACGACCAGTACAAACACACACAGACACACACTTATTGTATTCCCTTGTGTTTCTAATGTCTGTTATTCCCTGCAGTCACACCCGGGGATAACTCGCGCTGCCCGTTGTCGCCAGCTTCAGCATTTGCAATCGCCACAGCTGCTGCGGGGCATAGCAGCACCCAGAGTGAGTACGGCAAGTCATTAAGGTCAAAAGAGACACAACAGAGGAAGGTCGTCTGTGTTGGAAAGTGACTAAGTTAATTTATTTAGAACTGCACGTTGTTTAGAAATGCAATTTGAGATACTTGACAATTTCCACGTTCTGCTACTTTAAACTTCCACTCCACTATATCTCACATATTGTACTTTTTACTCCACTAAATGTATTCGATAACTTTGGTTACGATGCAGATTCACATTGATAATACAAATGCAACCAATAATTAAATTATGAAGTATTATAACAGGTTAGGATCAAATTCACAAGCATTTAGAGTAGCTCCAACTTTGCCAGAAATAAAATGTAAGGGATGAACACAATGCAACAACAATTTGAATCCAATAGTTTAACATATATTTTCTGAAATGAGCCATTTTGCATAGTGAGTACTTTTGGTACCTTTATCATATTTTGATATTGCTATACTTTTATTATGTAACTATTGAATGCAGGACTTTCTATTTTTCTATACTGTTGTATAGCTACTTTTACTTATGTGTACGTTTTTTTACTATCACTTTAGGAGTACTAATTGCACCACTTTTCTTTAGATCTGAAACTCCACATATCACAATGAAGTCTGTTAACAGGAAGCTAAATAGCAATACTGACCTCAGACTTTTAAAATTGTTGCCCTTATCTTTACCCCTCGTAGGTTTTAGTAATTCTGACAAAGTCTGTGACAAGGAATTCATCATCCGGAGAGCTGCGACCAACAGAGTTCTCAACGTGCTGCGACACTGGATTTCCAAGCACTCTCAGGTGAGTCCACAAAAAGTCTTTACATGCGTCCAAAAGATCCAAACACTTTGAGCCAGCCCACCTGAAAGACTCTGTTGTTGTGTCTGTTATCATTGCCATCACGCCTACCCCCCTCTGTGTGTGTGTGTGTTTTCCCCGATGGAGGTGCTCTTTGCTCTGCGTGTCCTCCTCCCACCCATGAGGCGAGCAGAAAGGTCAACCTCCTCTCCTGGGACACTAAAACAACTATCACTTTCTTTCAAGATTATATAAGATGCTATTTTCGTACCTGCATGTTTGTAGCCTGAAAAGTGAACATTTATAATGTATTAAGTGGTCCTTTTAATAAACACAGTTCTGGGTCCATGTGGGCAATATTAGTCTGTGTGCTATGACATTAAGTTTCACCACAGAACATCACTTTGTAAAGAAGCAAAACCATTTACTTAGGAAAAACGTAACTTCATTTTTTATCAACCTTATTTCGAAGGATTGATGTGTTTAAGAAAATACTAAAGTAAATTACAAATATATATTTGAATGCTTTAGATCTGTGGTTGCTGTTGACAGGAACGTTTTTAACGCAGCTCTTTCCCTTGCCAAATAAGTGTGAACATGATTTTAAGACTGTTTGTGATTTCTTTTTTTTCCTTTTTTCTTTTCTGTCTGGGATTAAGTAAAAATACACCAATATATGTACATTTCCCTCTAGAGGGCATCCTTCTCATGTCTGCAGCTACATTAAGAGGCAGTTGGGATGGATTTGAATGCACTTTAATACAATTAAATCAGTTTGATGTGCTTTTCAAAAGTGCCATGATTTTCCTTGATTCTTTGAGACTCTGGTTACTATATTTGTTTGTTAGTTCGTTGTTGTTTTTTCTCTGGTTCTTGTATACAGTGTACATTTGAGTTTTGCAGGACTCCCTGGCAGAGGAGATATTATATGTCAATGGGACTTTTATGGTTAAAATATTAAACTGTTCACAAAAATATACTCTTAGTGTTGATTATAACGCAGATATGGTTAAAATTCAAGCAAAATGTCTTTGAATAATCATAACATGGATATCATAGACATCATTTGACATTGTTGACCTGAATCTCCTCAAGTCAGTCTTTCTGCAAACATGCAATACCCAAATATTATCTGTAGCTGTAATTTAGTACTAAATATGTATAAATGTGTTCTCCATCAGGACTTTGAAATGAACATTGAGCTGAAGATGGGGGTGATCAATCTGCTGGAGGAGGTGCTGCGAGACCCTGACCTGCTGCCTCAGGAGAGGAAAGCAACATCAAACATTTTAAGGTACAAAGTCAGCAAGGTGTTATAAAATTGAAAAAATGGCTTTTTTCTGATTCACGTATTATCTATCTACATATAATGCCAGCATAATGAAAAGAACATATATTAAAACTGAAGAAAATGTAGTGCAGTACATCTGCAGTTGATGCGATGTGTCACTGTGCATAACAGTGTCTGTTTTGTTCTTCAGTGCACTTTCTCAAGAAGAACAAGATGATGCTCAGCTGAAGATAGAGGACATATTACAGATGGTCAGTATGAACACCTATTAGGAGCACAATGTATTAATATACTTAATCATAAGTGCATTTTAAGGTAATTTTTGAAATAATTTATCTCCAGAAAAGCTGTCCCCTACTACACTTCATTGCGGTAAGAATAATGATAATGTATAATCATCAGAGGTGGGGGACTCGAGTCGCATATTTTTGGACTTGAGGCTTGAGAAAGTTACCGGAGCGCCAAGTAGGAAGTGGAGCACACAGGAGACAGCCGTTTCATTGCAGACTGTAATGTTTATGTTGGGAAATGGCAGTGCATACATTATTTTAGATGTATTTCGAACTCGGACTCTCATTCACTTTAATGAAATCGCTACAGCACCAGGAGGCTAAACAGCTAAAAAGCGACCGCAGGCTGCTACGTTTTAACCACACACACCTCTACACACATCGAACTGCCCGATTAGTCCCCCTATTACTCGTTTTATGAAGGAGATGTCCGGTCACTAAGGCGCATGATGTGTGTGTGTGTTTGTGCTCTGCTCAGCTCTGCTCTGTATGTGTGTGTTCGGTGTGTTTGTGTGTGTCCGACAACGGCATTTGTTTTCAAATTACCGTGAACAGTAGTTTACACACATGTAAAATATTTGTGTTGTACTCCTGTTATCACTTCAGAGCCCTTTTAGAATGTATAGGCTTATCATTTCAGCGCCCCACTCTCCATTGCTGTTTATGTTGAAAATAAAACTAAACTTTTCATAACCACAATATTTTAACTGATTTAAATGCGGAAACTGGGGTTATTCATCAGAATTTCGTATGACTTGACTTGTGACTTGCTTGACCTGAGCAATGACTTGACTTGCTTGACTCTCACCACAGTGACTTGAGACTTGCTCATGACTTGCACATGTATGACTTACTCCCACCTCTGATAATCATACAGGTAGCTGTAGTGTAGTTTCTGTGCCTCGTGGTGAATTGAGTTATAGGTGCATTCCCAGTATGTGGAGGTAACGTAGTGTACTAGTACATCTAGTTATTCCAAACTACTATTAGGTCTGGACTACAAATAGTTTGTGTGTGTTCCAGGCCGAGAGTCCTAAAGCGGAGTGTTTTGAGTCCCTCTCAGCCATGGAGCTTGCAGAGCAGATCACAATGCTGGACCACATCGTGTTCAGGAGTATTCCCTACGAGTGAGTACATCATACAGACGGTACAAACGTTGCTTAAAACAACACATTTCACAAGGATAATTTGGTATGTTTGTATTTTACAGGTCTGTAATTTTTTCAAATCATATCCTCTAGGGTTATCTAGAAATAACTGTTATTTGATACTGCAATAATGGGCTCAGTTGGTAGTATACTATATTAGCCAGATCACATCAGGTCATCTGAACATGATAATCCGATTAGATACATACAGAGAATACTTTTTCCAATAGTAAATCAAATGTAATGACTAATTACATAAGAAATGTAATAAAAGCATAATTTTATTGCTGTACTTGGTTGAGTTGGACATCATTTGAACTACTTTAAATAGTGTACAAGATTACGGAATATTTGCATGATGATGTGTAGAGTTAACATATGTCAAACAAAAAATACAGTGTGTCTGACTGTACTGTGATCTGCAGGGAGTTCCTCGGTCAGGGCTGGATGAAGGTCGACAAAACCGAGAGGACGCCGTACATCATGAAGACCAGCCAGCATTTTAATGATGTAAGACTAAACAGGGTTTTTTCCTTTAAATTCTGCAAAATAACCAAAGGTATATTGACACAAAATTAAAGCAGCTATGTTGATATTTTATTTAGCATTTTAATATTTTTCAGCAAAAAATGATCTTTTTAAATTGGTTCCACTTTTTCAAATGTGAGTATTTGATGTTTTTGTTTGTTATATATCATGACATTTGAATATGTTGGTGGATCTCACTGTTGCATGTGTCAACTTTGATTTGAGGACATTGTCACAGCCATTTAGAAGGTTTGCTGAGATTTTAAAGCCAAATTCTTAAAAGGTTTAGTGAAATAATAATCGGCATATTAAAGGACAATTCATTTTGGGTTTTTTCTTTATTGTAATGCAGAAATTGAACAATTGTTGTCTTCTTTTTGTCAGTGAAATAGAAGTGTTCCTCTCACCCTCTGTCCTCAGATGAGTAACCTGGTGGCGTCTCAGATCATGGCCCACACTGACGTTGGCTCCCGAGCTAACTCCATAGAGAAGTGGCTGGCAGTGGCCGATATCTGCCGCTGCCTCAACAACTACAACGGCGTGCTGGAGATCACCTCGGCTCTGAACCGCAGCCCCATCTACAGGCTGAAGAAGACCTGGGCCAAAGTCTGCAAACAGGTTGGAACTATTTCATTGTTGTTTAAAAATAAACCTACTCTCTCTGCACAAAACCTTTATGATTTATTTGTGTTTTTAGACAAAGGCGCTCATGGACAGGCTGCAGAAGACTGTGTCAACGGAAGGACGGTTCAAGAATCTCAGAGAGACACTGAAAAAGTAAACATTGCTTATTAACCAGACATATTAGTGTCTTAATACAGTCCCTTTTTTAATAACTTGTTCATGTTTGCGATGTGTGTGTAGCTGTAACCCTCCATGTGTCCCGTACCTGGGCATGTACCTCACTGACCTGGCTTTCATTGAGGAGGGAACACCCAACTTCACAGAGGAAGGCCTGGTTAACTTCTCCAAAATGAGGATGGTAAGGAATGCAATTATTTCCTTGCTCCTCTTCTTTTATAATCATTATTCAAGCCTTACCCAGAACAAAAGGCTTTACAAACTGTGTTTTATAATCAGTAATCGTTAGCTTGTGAGGCTAACAAGCTTACATACAGTAGGCCAATGAGCACAGCATTAACTAAGTATTTTTAGTTTTAGTATTAGTTTGCGGGGTCACATTTAAATACTTTGTTGTACACATTGCTTATCTCCCTCTGGGAGCAGAGACTTATTGTTTGAAAAATATATTTTGGATCAATTTAAAGGGTTCTTCTTATAAAACAGACAGTGGCATTTTGAGGCAACTCGGTGACGCTTAAATTAGCTTAAAAGCTAGCTGGCTAAAGTTGATTAAATCTGTCTGCTGCAACAACTGCAAAATGAAAGGTTGTGTGCTAGAAATAAGGAGCTGCTTTTGTGTACCACTGCTTAAAGATATAACGCTCAATTTTACAATTTAGTCAATTAAAAGGCATTACGATGTTAAATCAGTCGCAGTTATACACTGTGATCTTGACAGGCATAGCAAAAGCAACTAAGGGCTTAACAAACAGTCAATTTCAGTTGTCTAAGTATTAACTCTCTACTCTTTCAGATTTCTCATATTATCCGGGAGATTCGTCAGTTTCAGCAAGCACCTTACAGGATAGAGCACCAGCTCAAGGTGAGTTTAATAAAATGCATTACTTATGAAACATAACATTTGTGTTTTTTGAACTAATAATACAAAATATTTTGTCTTTTATGACGTCCTCCAGGTGACTCAGTTCCTCCTGGATAAGACACTAGTGATGGATGAAGATACCCTCTATGATCTCTCGCTGAAGATCGAACCCCGAGTACCCCCTGGCTAACTTCATTACACACAAACATATTCACTTAGACAAAATATACATCCATCTTTACAATATTAACTATAATTAAACACAACTTGAGTTTCTTTCTTAATGGCAGGGGTCGTTTCATAAAACACCCCGAGTTATTGTGCTAAGGAAACTCGGGAGAAAATGTGCCTTGTTGTGTAAATATCTGATGTGTATATTTCGTAAACAGAATGAACTGTATAACATACACAACTCTGCCATACAATCGTACTGTTATGACGGTAGAAACAACTACTTAAACATGGCACTAGAAATTAACATGTTGCTGCTATCACATTGTAAATACTAAACAACCTGCCTCTGTAGTCTTGCACATAAACATTGTTAGATGATTTTTAGATGATTTGTATGATAATGGCCAGATTAATCTGCTCAGTCCCTGGGTATCATTTTGTGCAGCATTTACACAGAATACATAAAAGTAACTTGATGATGTGTTCAAAGACACGTTGCTCACTGGGAGCAAACAGTCCCTTCTTTGGCCACTTGGGGCAGCAGAACAAGCTGGAAACATGATTATGAATTTTTACTTCGAGCTCTGTTTTGGTCTCCGCCAACTCTTTAAAGGAATATCAGTTAAAAAGCTTCACTTTCCCAACAAGCTTTTCTTTAAATGTGTGTGTTTGCTACACAGTGTTTTTATATAGAGATTAACCAAAAAACAGTTGCCCTCTCCTGCAAGAAGCAAGGTCTATGAGAGCTGTAAGACTCAACCATATTTGTGAAGTTGCGGGATGTAGGTCTAAAATCAAAACAATGAGGTGTAACCCCTTTCACATTACACAGTCATTAAACCATTGTTAATATAGTATATAGTTTGTATTTGCTGAGAATTGCCCTTATCAATATGTTAATATTAATAATGCAATATTTCTCTGATGCACACACTGTACACTATCTAGTCAGCACCAAACAACAGACCAACAAAGTTAGCAGAAAGCTATAATTGAGTACAAAGAATCATTTGTAACTCACAAAAGTATAGTGTTTTAAGGCAGCTTGCATGTGGGGATAAAATACTACCGGGGGTCTCTGTGGGTGTCACACTACCTGCAGTACCAACTGTGGCCACCTCTGTGATATTTGCCTCTCAGGCCAGATCTGATCACAGTGAGAGCTGATTTCAGATCAAGGCCCCCACTGTATCATGTCAGTTTATATTAAGCTTTAATATTGCGTATACCAAAATGATTAGTAATTAAATTGCCAGAGACCAAAACCCCCCGTAAACCTCAGTTATTAGAGGCTCGAGGTGCACCGCTCTGGGGAATTTCCACTTGACCTGGTTGGTAGGTCAGCTTTCTGCATATGTCTGGGTCCCACGTGGTTTCCTAAACAGCTGGAGTACAGTTGAAATATGTGTATCTTAAACGTACTGTCTCGCCTGTATCTTGGTGACGTTGAGCTCACAGGGGATGACGGAGCATTTTCTTATCATTGCTCATCCGTTAAGGTTTATATTGATGCAGTTGCCACTTTATTGCATTTGCATGTTACAGCAAAACTCTTTGTAGTTTACACACATTCCAAATCTGCAAATGTACTGCAAATGTCATATTTATTCATATGTTTGACAATCAAAACCTGTTTCAAATCATATTTCTTCAGTTTTGTAATATAGTGATTTTGTGCACAAATCTTTCTGATTTTGAATAATCACATTCCTGCTCTTGTCACCAGTATCAGCCTGAAAGGTTTCTTACATGATACAAAGCCCCTACAGCTACATTTTTATTTTATGTGTACCATTTTCTTTTTATAATTCCATTTCCAATGTGATCTTTAAATCATATTCATATTTTAAACCTTGTGGACTGTTTTAGTAAAATAGTTATAGCTTTGCACTATGGATTTCTTATGAATGTCAATAGACTCTAAACTTGTTTATAGCATGATTATAGCACGATGTCCTTTGTGTCCTTGGGATTACTGTTATCCTTATTGTTGACTTTTACTGAGTTTTAGATTTATTCATTTATTTTGGCTATTTTCTGATGTCAGGAATCTTCAAAATATTCGCTGCGTTAGTATTGCTTTCTTACATTACTGTATACTTTAAATTCAAACTTTGCTGTTGTATATTTCCATGCATTTCTCAGTTTGATGTACAGATATTTACACACAATAAAAGCAAAAAAAGTGAATTATGTTGTTACAAATGTTTTGTTATGGTGATTAGAGGGAGATATGGTTGGCGCTGAGGACTCAATGCCCCACTAGAAAACAAGCTAAACAACCAAACACAGAAATGCACTGCAAATATAGAATACCCAACTGAAAAGTGCAAACAAAAAAAGCATACAAGCAGTGCTAAAGAAACCTTGCTAGTTGCAAATGACTCAAAAGTTACAAACCAAGCAAAAAACCTGCCAACATATCTAGATGGTCATCTTTGATTCGCAGAAACTGTAAAACTCTCACATTTTCTAACACGCTACCCAATGACCTGACTTAAATTGAACCATTTCACTAAAGTTCCTGAACCCAACGTTAGCGTTTAGAAACAACCATGCAATGGTCTGACTCCTTGAGTTAAGTCTATATCTGTACATTTTGTTGGGAAATGAGGACTGGCAAATATCTGCGGTATCTAATGTTTTACAACCAGAATGTTACATTTCATTTCAATACTGATGGGATGCCATCCTCACTACATGAGCCATTAATTAATTGTGTGTGTATGTGAATAAACGTGGAAAAAATCAAGGTCAGACAGGACGGTGATATCGGACCCTCTGCGGTCATGCTTAATCGTAGCTCAACTTGATCGGTCTGTGCCGGTGTAGCTCATGTTGGTGGCCCTTCATTGGTTTGTTCCTGAACTTATGATTGGCCTCCACTTTTTAATCCTGCATGAGGGGGCGGAGTCCCCTGAGAGAGGAGAGTGAAAAGCTCTTTAACAAGACATCTTCAGCAAGAAGGCACAGAAGCTTTCCTACAGGTATGTACCTTCTTTCTTATTTCTCTTGCAGAACAGCTCGACTAGCTCCATGCATCGCAAACTGTTAGTGGATTAATTTGTAATTTTGTAAATCTGTTTCAGAGAATATACAGGCTCTGCACCATCTTGACTTTGATCTTTTGGCATGCTTTTGACATTTTTAGTTTACATACGCAGGCCTACCAATTGAGTGCATGATTTAAAAGTTATGTTTTAAATAGGGATGGCGGATTGAAGCCAAAGTAATGATGAGATGACAAATTCAAGCTGATGTGTAACAGAAAAAGTCCTGCAAAGATGCAGAACTTGATTTATGCATATGGTTCAGAAACCTCCAAGCAGTTTGTTGTTGCACTTTGCTTGAAAATATATATTTTTGACATCCTTTTGGGTTCTTTGACTAAATTCAGAGTTGATATTAACTCTGCTGTGTCCTCTGCAGAGGACGAAGCTGCTCTGACGTCCTAAACAGACTCCAGCAGAGTTAAAAGGTCACAGTGGTCAGTGATTTGGAGTAATCCTTACCTTAAGACCCTAGAGCCACAGGGTCAGTTTGCAGGGAAGGCTTGACAGGATGAGATTGCAGATTGGCATGAAGGTCTAAAATTCTTGCATTTCCATGTCTATGTTTGTTGCGTCACCTCTCACCTGATTTTTCTCTCATGAGGGTCCCGTCTTGTGACCAGATCATAATGTCACTATGTTGTCAGCCAGGGATGAATGTTTATTGGCACTGTATCCTGGCAGCATAACTTTTCTCCAGTGATCTATAAATAATATTACCACTGACCCAAAGAGTCCATTGTCATTCGCCTCTAATCATTGAGAGGAGAGTCACTGGGATAAATTCAGTATAAAAAGTCCTGTGGTGTATTGGGGGAATGCTTTATTCCTCAGTTACTAGTGCGGTTCAGATCAGCCATCTTTACTTTGACAGGATTAACAGGAGTAATGATGTCCTTCCAGCTTCCTTCTATATTAAGACACAGTCTCGTGGACACTACCTACCCTCTGTGAAGGACAGGCTAGGAACTTTTAATTCAAGTAGGCCTATTGCATTTAACATTTGAAATCCATCTTGATGGACATATAGACAATATTAACAATACTGAAAATATACTTTTTTCCTTACTGACTACTACAGACGGATTTCTTCCTGAGCTGTCTCAAGTCCCACTTTTTCCTTTCAGCTTTAGACAGACGTCTGTTCATTGGCTAAGCCTTAGTGGATGTCAGTCTATGGTGGATGTATGAGAGCTGCAGGTGGGAGACTGCTAATGCTAAGAAGCTAAGAGCTATCCCACCTGCCACCCACTCTAAGCTTGTTACTGTTCAAAAGGAAAAACCCAGGGGTCTTAATCCCAGCCGGTGTGATTTACCTTACATGTGCTAATGAAAGAGTCTATCCTTGGTATGATAGCCATACAGGTACATGTTGGCGCTAGTGGGCATACCTCTCCGTTTTTCATTGAGCTTTTTTATTTCCAGTTCTTGGTTGTAAAACTCCTCTCAGACATTTTGCTCACAGGTTTTTACATCCTTTGGATCTAATCAATAATAACTGATGAGCAGTTTATACTACCACAGAATATTTCAAATAAAAGTAGCTAGTACGCCAAAGCTAATTAGCTTTGCCAGCTTCTGCCTATTCTTTACTCATCATTACTGAAGACAGTTTGATATTGGTAAGGTTACGATTTACGGGTCAAAGTTCACAAAAGTTGAATTTGAAGCTAAAATAAAATAAAATTGATAGATTTTTGCTGTGTAATGTTTTGAAATGCTTAAATGCTAGCATGTCTAGCCATAACCGTGAGAAGTGTGGGGTTACGGCAGCACTGTACACTGGATATCCAACCTGAATATGATCGGACAATATTATTTCTGCAGGGGTATGAATGAGCAACAGATTGTTCATCAATGCCAAATAATGAACTTGAATAATAGGAATTTATATTTAGTGGGTTCTTTTTTTAATTTATGTCTTTCTTTTTCGACAGCTCATTTGTTTCTTTTAAAGAGTTACCTACTATCAGAAAGATGGCTGGCTCTTTCACACGTATGATCGCCGGACGCAACGGGGCTGTGCTGTTGGCCAGCCTGGGCGCGGGAACCATGGCGACTGGTTTCCTGATGAGTGATAACCCCCTAGCTGCTGAGGTCAGGACAAAGCTCTACCCCCCCAGGTAAGACCAACACCATAGGGCTGATAGAAACACACAGATAGAGGGGTGACCTTGACTTGTCAGTGAATACTTCAAGCTCTATAATTATCAACCTGTTAAGGCAGATATTTTAAAAACTGACTACGTGATTTGCAACATCACTTGTTCATTTCAGAACAATGACTCATTGCTTTGTGTTACCACAACAGAAACAACTAAGGGGAATTAGTAGAATGAAACGTATTTATATATACACATACTGTATAGACGAGTACAATACTTAAAGGTGGGGTAGGTAATTCACTTCAGAAACACTTTTTGTTATATTCCATGGAATACTCTTAACATCCCGATAGCAATGAATACATTAAATGCTTTGACAAATAAAAAAATGTCATCTGTGGAAGCCGTGGCGCTGTACTTTTCGGTTGTGTACTTTCAAATTCTAGCACACTCGAGCTGGTTTCTCCATTCTCACCTACCCTACCTTTAAGTACAAATGTCTGTTATTTGATCTTTGAGTGTTCACATTTATGAAACTTTATGCTTTAACTCCAAAACAGCTAAGAGGAAACAATATGTATTCTTTACTACACTACATTTATCTCATTATAATTGAAGGATAAAGTGTTCCTTTAAATTCTCCTTCTTCTAAAGCTCAATATACCCCTTGAATTAGCTGGAGAATGCAATGTCACAAAGCTGAAAGCAGGTGTTTTTTCTGAGATAATTAAAGTAAAAAATGCATACTTTAACCACCTCTTGTCCATAATACTCTACTATTTTGTGAGTCTGTTTAAGGATATGAATACCTTTTCCACTACTGCTAAAAGTTGACATCAGAAGTGTTAATTCATTTATATAGTAAAAGTGTTATATAAAAAACGGTATGTCATCAAAACATTTTGAGTGTGGACTGCGTAAGTGGAAAACTGAGAGTATTAAATAGCAGAGGTCATACAGCGTGATTCTGGAATCATCTGCCCTGATCTCTGACGCTCTCGAGTTTCATCTATGTTACCTTTGACTCACTCCCTCCCTCTGTCCAGCTCTTTCACAGAACTGTTCCCCCTCTCACCTTCTCATCTTTAACATCACTGCGTAAATCGTAATTGATACATGAGCAGAGTAATGACAAACACGCACACTGTTGTTAATTGCTTTTAAATCGCTTTAAATTTAGTTACACTACCTTTACTTATAAATAGACTATATATGTTTGTATCAAAGAAAACATTTTAAAGCATTTTTCTCTCTTAATGTGGTACATTTCTGGTCGAAATAGGATGTCTCCTTTGCAATTGTAAAGTTTCAATTTATTAACTAAGAATGTATGTAATGCAACAAATGTTGTTGATACAGAGACAATAAACCCTTAGTCTAAAGTAGTCCTGAGTTCTGTTAAGCATTCAGCAGCTAAAGCACCATCTATTTCCCTCAGGAGTTGGTAGGGACCAAAAATGGAGCTAAAAGAGTTCATATTTGTCCGACATTAATCAGTTGGACACAACTGAACAAACACAACCTTAAATCGATGACAGGGTGTCTCTGTGTCTGGGTGTAAATATATATATATAATCAACTTATGAAGGGTATAATATGTTGATGTTGTGACTGAGTACAGCTAGTTGTTATTCCCCCAAATGGCAAAAAACAGGTAAATGCAGACTTCAATGTGGACACTTGTTCTTGTTTAAGGCAGATTATATTTCACAAAAGATTTCTTCAGGGCATTTTGAAACATAACTTGTTGAAAAAGCATGATGTAACCATCGTTTAGGATCATTAATAGACTGAGTACAGCTTGTTTTTACCCTACAATTTCTTTCTTTCCACTTCTTCGTTTCCTGCAGCTCTGATTTCCCCGACCTGAGAAAACACAACAACTGCATGGCCAAGGCTCTGACTCCGGCCATTTACGGCAGACTGAGGGACAAGATCACCCCCAACAACTGGACCCTGGACCAGTGCATCCAAACCGGAGTGGACAACCCCGGACACCCTTTCATCAAGACCGTGGGCTGTGTGGCTGGTGATGAGGAGAGCTACGAGGTATGAGAGGTCAAAGGTCACATTGTAATTACCTTTCTTTTAACCATGTCCTCTGACTGACCAGCTGCACCAAATCCAGATGAGAGAATATATGAGTTCATAAAAATGTTAATTCGCTGAGTAATGAGCTTAAAGGGATAGTGGAAATCCGCGAATTTTGGGTTTAACTTATGTATTTTTATTAAAAATAAGCATAATAAACAATTTTTTTTTATTTCATGCGCCTAGTTTCATTTTATTTTCAATTTTACTGCGCCCTCTCAATGAAACGAAATACTTCGGGAATCGTCGGGAATCTTCGGGTGATGACGAGAGCATAGGAAGACGGGCACAAACAATGGCGGACATTCAATAGTATTTGCATGTGAATAGCCGACCTTTATTATGGTACCGAGTATATTGCCATAAATATGATGATTGATTATCAGTAAAAAATTCTACGTGACACAACGACATTGGATTAACTTTGAGATGCGTTTTTATTCCGTTGATGTTGATGTTGTTTACTTTCTCTTTTCTGGCTGATAGCTCCAGGAATTCGAGGTCTTACAGTGATGACATTACATCTGTGGAATCTGTGGAGTCTCAGCTTTAAATCGTATATCTTGCTTGTGCAGTTAAGATAGTAATAAGGGGATTTCTACCGTGTGTTGTGTGTAAAAAAGCGTTAGCATTAGTTAGCATTGTTTCGCTCAATGCTAATTCAAAGGCTTGGTATTACTCTTGTGTTTTTTGTAGCTAACAATTGTTCTTATTGTCAGTTAGCGGAGTTTCTTACCTTTAAAAGGGTATGAAACATTAATAGTTTCATAAATGTTAAGAAGCCCTGAGACATGTGAGAGAAAAAAAACTGTGGGAGGGGTCCACTGGGGGGACCTTCGGGCTTAACTGGTTAACAATGATTAATATTTGTAAAGGCTACAGGTGATCTTAAGATGCGTGAGCTATGCTTAGGGACCTACCAGTCAAGATTATTTGTGCGTAGGGGTGCATCATCTGGCGCCTGGTCCTGGTCATCCTCGCCATTGCCCATGCCGTGAACCATCACCTCGGGCTCGGGCTCGAACAAATAAGGACGTAATGGTCCATCGTCTGGCTCAATATTGTCACCATCGTCGCTTACTGAACCGGATTCAGATTCAGTTCCTAAAACGACATTTTCGTAGGAAAGCCGAGAGGATGTTTCTGACTCGCTATCATCACTGGATACCTCGTACAATCCTTCTTCTTTGTCTGGTATATTTGCCCTTCCACGTTCATTCTGCATAGACGCCATGGTTTGTTATCGTATCGTCTTCCTAAGTTTTCGTCACTTCCGGTTTGGCTGAGTCGAACATTTCGTTTCTAAAAAACTTCGGGGAAGCTGCAATAAAGTGCTTCTAACATGCGTAAGGCAATTATTATATTTTTTTAATCAGGTGTGATTGTTTTGGTACGTAATTATGCTTGTATATAAGTTAAAACGAAATATTTGAGGTTCCATTTCCACTATCCCTTTAATGAGCAGCAGCTAGCCATGCATCTAGTGCTTTGATGGAGGTCATTGAGGCTGAAGGCTTTCAATATCCATTAAAATACCATCTGAAAAAACGTAATGGTTTTATTGTAATGGTTCTCAACTTGGTATTATAGATTTTGTGGTACATTTGAGAATTTTATATTACCACTTAGTTTTGAAACTTTGATTAATTATTATTTTATTACTTTTTTAAGGTATGACTATTCATATTTTATTGTCTTTCTTTATAGTGGTTGTGGTTTTCTTTGTATATATAAGCGAATATATTATTTTTTTAAACATTCAAGGAAGGCTACATTGAAGTCCCTTCACCTCCTCTGTTGGACTAAAATTTGAAACAAATGTCAATATTTGATTTACCGGATATATTCCTTGAAAAGAGTATTTACCTTCATCAAGGACACTTAACATGATTTGAATTAAAGGTTCAAAGTTATTTTTGGATTTTGAATCTAGAATTTTATATTGTTTGAAGAAGAAAAAAGACACTTGACTCTGTCCTCTGTTCCCCCCAGGTGTTCTCTGAACTCTTTGACCCCATCATCAAAGACAGGCACAACGGCTACGACCCCACCACCATGACTCACCCCACTGACCTGGACGCCTCCAAGGTGTTTACACCACTGCATGAGCCCTGCATCCACCTGCTGTTCTTTAATGTATTAAAACTATTTTTCTTTCTCGCCTCTTTCTCCAACCTCCAGATAACCAATGGCGTGTTTGACGACAAATACGTCCTGTCGTCCCGTGTCCGCACTGGGCGCAGTATCCGCGGGCTGAGCCTCCCCCCCGCCTGCTCCAGGGCGGAGCGCCGTGAGGTGGAGCGGGTGGTGGTGATGGCCCTGGCCGGCCTGAAGGGAGACCTGGCCGGACGCTACTACGGCCTGCAAGACCTGACAGACAAGGAGCAGCAGCAGCTCATTGACGTGAGTTTCATCTTTGTTAGACACAGAAACTATACACATATTGTGATTACAATACCCAAAGTCATAATTGGTCATCATTTTCTTCTGAATATTTAAAGATTTGTCCCAGTTTTATATTCACAGAGCAGCTTTTTTAGGTAATATGCTTTAGGAAAACCTGACCACTTATCACAGTTTGTATAGTCTTGGTTTTATACTGTGGACATCATTTGTGAGAAGTTCAAACTTTTTCCCCCTCTTGATTAGTATCATTTTTAAGAATTTTACAAGCATGAAGAGGCGATAGTAGTTGAATAATTAAAAAGGTTACCCTGTGTTTCCAGTCTTTATGCTAAGCTAAGCTAGATATCTGCAGGCTCCAGCTTCATATATACTCCACATCTAGCACAGTAATTGTACTGTTCTTCTAACTTGTCTTTTTCTAAAATGTAAAAACACTTTAAGTCTAACAAAATGACCCTGAAAATGTATCATCTAGTCATCTTAGACTAGCTCTCTTTAACCTTCAAACGTTTTTATTGACCTTCCTGTTCTGATTATTTCACGCTGCGCCACAAAAGGATCATTTCCTGTTTGACAAGCCAGTCTCTCCGTTACTCACTTCGGCCTTCATGGCCAGAGATTGGCCCGATTCCAGGGGAATCTGGTAAGACCTCCCATCCCAATGCTGTTAGTGCTGCCAGTAATGAGAGGAAATGCTTTGCAATGCATCGAGCCTCACCCTCTCCCGGTCTGAGAAGTCCTCCCTAACCCTTATTCTATTCTCTCCTCTGGAACACAGTTAGTTTTAGAAGTAATTAACTTTAACGTCCTCCTCCCTCTGTTTTCTACCTCCCTTTACCCACCTTTCCCACCTTCAGGACCACTTCCTGTTTGACAAGCCTGTCTCTCCTCTGTTGACATGTGCCTTTATGGCCAGAGACTGGCCTGACGCCAGGGGCATCTGGTAGGGTTTATTCAGCTCTCCTGCATGTCTGCTGTGTGACTCTAGAGACCTCCACCTCCTGACCCATGCAGTGATAAACTTGGTGTTGGAAAGTCACTTAGTACACCTTCTTATACTGGCAGCTTTGTTACCTTTAGATATACAATTCTTTATCCACTTCCTGTTCAATGAAAACCATGTATCTCCTGTTTTGGTGCTTCAAATGTGAATATTTGTGATTAATAGAAGTGTTCCTTAATGGGTCGAGAAAACTCAAACTTCTTAAGCTAAATAAACAATTAAAAAAGATCTCGGATCAGCAGGAAAATGTATAACAACTAATCTGAAAACAGGCCTTTTTTTCTGAACGTGTGAAAAATAAAAAGGTTTTACACAACCTAAAACATCTCAGCAGTTAAATGCTGTGACGCTCAATAAGTGTTAAGATATTGCCCTGCTTTTGATGCATGTTGCTGGACAAATATACCAACAGGACATCGTTTTTGTGTTTTATATTTATTATGCTGCTATAAATGCATGTCTCTCACATATTAATGCAGACAGGCAGCATGATTATAAAATGTTCTTTATATTCAGGTCCTTTATGACCATGAGTCGTCTCCTGTAATGAAAGGAGTATTCTACCTTGAGAGCCCTTTAGTGAGACTCTTTAGCTGTTTCTCTTCAGGCACAACAATGAGAAGACCTTCCTGATCTGGGTGAATGAGGAGGACCACACCAGAGTCATCTCCATGGAGAAGGGAGGCAACATGAAGAGAGTGTTTGAGAGATTCTGCAGAGGACTCAAACAGGTAGAGTGGAGCCTGTGAAACAAACACAGACATGATGTAGCAACGGAGCAGCCATCTTACTTTAGGGATGGTGGGGTTTGTCTGCCCAGAATGATGGTCTAACAGAAAAGTCTAAACAACTTTTGGAGGGGTTGCTATGAAAGTGTGTACACATGGATGAATCCTACACACTTGATCCTCTGATTTTTCCTCTAGTAGGCTATAAGGTTAAGATTTTTAGTTTATAGTAAAATATTTAGACACATATTGGATATTATCATCATTAAGTCAACGGTATAACTTGTCAAATAATAGTTTTTTTTAACCAAATACTGTAAAACTAATGATATTCCCATTAGTTTCAGCTAATAAAAATAATAGAGCTGAGGCTCTGTCGAAACAATGCTAATTATTTTGTTTGTAAAAAAGATGCAAGCAATAAGAAGATACATAACATAGTGCAGAAGTTAAAATCTAAGGATAAAATGAAAGATACATATAGTATAATAAACTATGTTTGTATTTGTAATTGGAAATTGAAGGAACTGTAATGTTAACATGAATGTAGTGAGTGTAATTGCGTGATAAGATTATAGGGAAATATATATTTATTAAGTAAAGAAGCTAAATACATTTCCAAAAATCTAGGGCGTCACCATACAGCAACAGTATAACTCAACTCTTATTATGGGATGTCTCATAGGTGGAACAGCTGATCCAGGAGAGAGGCTGGGAGTTCATGTGGAACGAGCGTCTGGGATACATCCTCACATGTCCCTCCAACCTGGGCACTGGACTCAGGGCTGGCGTGCACGTGCGCCTGCCAAATCTCAGCAAGGTATTACCCTAACACACACACACACACACACACACACACACACACACACACACACACACACACACACACACACACACACACACACACACACACACACACACACACACACACACACACACACACACACACACACACACACACACACACGCCCCCACACACACACACTCCATGTTCTTGTGTATAATAACAGATTTTTTCAGAAGAAATGCAGATGGGATCTTGTGGTGGGATTGATTTGTCCAATTCTTGTTTCTGCAAGATCAATGATTAACTTCCAACCTTCACTTATGCCACAGCTTTCACAGATCAATACAAATTGAATGTTGCATCTGTGGTCTTGAAATTAAGTGGCATTTGACTGTAGTTTTGACCGAAATTATTCTGCAGGACACACGTTTCTCCAAGATCCTCGACAACCTGCGGCTGCAGAAAAGAGGCACAGGTGGAGTGGACACAGCTGCCACTGGAGACACCTTTGACATTTCCAACAACGACCGTCTGGGCAAATCTGAGGTCAGGAACAGTAAATCATATTGCATTTAAAAAATATATAGAGCCAATATTTTGTTGTGGAAATGAACTTTGCTGTGTGTTTTTAGGTGGAGCTTGTCCAGATGTTGGTGGATGGCGTCAACTACCTGATTGAATGTGAGAAGAAGATGGAGAAGGGACAGGACATCAAAGTCCCGTCTCCCGTCACCCAGTTCAGGAAGTAAAAAGCTCAACTCATCACAGCACCGGTGTTAGTGGGGGGGCTCTCTGCTCCGAGCTCCCCCCAAACCTCAGAGACGTCTGATTGCAAATCTTTATGATAACCTAATTTTAGTCATGGACTGCAGTTAGGGGGGATTCTACCTCAAGTTCCAGGTCATCACTATTCCTGACTTCAATAAAAACAATAATAAACACTTTGACTTTTCTGTGATTTATTTGACTCATCTATGGTGGCCTTGAGAGCCAAACACATTTCAATACAGAGTTGGAAAGTAAGTAATATCTACTCAAGTACTGTTCTTAGATACTTTACTCAAGTGATTTTATTTTCTACTACTTTATATTTATACAAATATTTTAGCTATTTTTTACTGCAGTACATTTTTTTGATAACTTTGGATACATGTAACTCTGCATATTCAGATTAATAATACAAATGTAAATGTACAATCTAGCATGGCAACATTTTAATCCTTCATACACCTCCCAAAGCATTATGGGAACTGTAGTTCCAAGAAGTATTTTATGATTATCACAATGATCATTATTATGTTGCCATATTACCCGTGTCCCAGTGCCTGTAAATAATGTTAAATCTTTATTCATTCATGTCCTTTGTGTTCTCCATCTGCAGTTGGATCCATTGCCTTCTCATGTGTAACAGCATGAGTCTGCTGGTGTGCTCTGCATGGTCAGCTGTCAGTCTGTTGTCTGGCTATAATTATATTTTGCTTATGGATGGAGAAAAGTAAATTAGATCTGTTTAACTGCTGCACACAGCGATACTGCAGGTTGAACACTAAATTGCAATGCTAGAACCAATCAGGCCTTTTCTTTATATATTAATATTGCCAGCATTTTGATGAGTGAGGTAAGCAGGGGTTGGTCATAATTGGAGAGGGTATCATCGTCTTACATTCAAAATACAAATTGCTATTGAATTGGATGCCAACTTCCAAAATGAAGGAGTTTTAATTATAAGAGACTTTCCCCCAACATTTCAAAGTACAAAAACGTATCAAGGGACTCATGGATGTTGTTGCATGTTCACAAAGATTGAATGAGGAATTCTGCATCAGTAACAAACTTTAATTTTTATGTACTGCAACAGGTGATTTCACAAAGTACAGTGTATCGTAAGGGAAAGTATAAACAAATAAAGAAAAACAGATATAAACAACAGCTTTAGATTAACTGGGTATTTGTGTTGTTGAAAACAAAGTTTAAAATCTGTAAACAGGTCTGCAATAACTAATTAATAATCGAAAGAAAAAAAACATTCAACATCTACGTAGGCAGAACAGCACTTTTTATCCTTCTCTGATATTTAACTTTCCAGGATGCCACCTCTGACAATTTTTCTTGTTTTTATCTAAAAAGAAATCAGTAGAAAGAAGTCAAAACAAGCAAAAGGTGACGCCTAGAGGCCAGCGCCTGCCCATCACCTAAGACTCCAGATTTTATTTTTTTTGCCAAAGTGAAACGGAAACACAAGCCTCTATTAAGGAGTGATTGAAGTGCTAATAAGAGCAGGTATGCTAGAACATGGCATCTCTGTGTAGATTAAGGGTTAGAACAGGGCTCTTTGACGGGACACGGAGAGGAGGTCGTCAGTGAGGGGCCGTCAGTCAACGGGCCGCTTTTCACTGTGTTTCTTTGTAAACTCCTCGGCATTCTTCATGAATTTAGCACGGTCTTTACTGTACTCCTCTGCCAGGTCGGCCCTCAGCGGATGCTCCGGCTGGGGGCTGTTCACCAGGCCGACGAGATTGAGAATCACTGGAGGAGAGAGGGAAACATAATATACATAAGTTATACACAACAGTCTTTGATTAGATAGCTCAAACTGCAGGGAGGAAACTCTTCTTGCGTCTTTCAGTGGTGGAGAAAGTATAATAATACTACAGTTAACATGAGTACATGTGCTTAAAGTTACTTTCCCCCTGAATTCCTGGTTCATTTGGCGCCACCTGTGGTTACAAGCGGTAACAGCAGGTGTTTGTCACAATTTCTTGGTGGTATGCCAGGGGGATTTCTGGCTTTCATTTTCTGTTCAGTGGAAATCATTTCGATGTAATGTGTCTTTGTTTGTACTAGAGGTTCCATCTGTTGTTTTCGGTATGCTTTTTTTAAACGACTCCTCAAATGTTTGGTAACGAGTGGGCTTCTTAATATAACATTTGGTAACATTTTTGACAAGCCCTGATAGTCCAAACATGTACAAATTCAAATGAAGCCTTCAATCCATAACTTTTGCTTTCATGTGTTAAGACAAGAACTATGTTAAAGGGTTTTAAACATAACTGAGGCAAAATATATATTCAGGCAAGAAGTCAAAACCAAACAATCTTTCCGAGCCAAGAAAACGCTTTTTTTGTTCCAACACATCTCTGTATAGTAGCTCATCTCACATACATGATCAGCTTAAACATGATGAATGAGCTTCTTTGAGATGTGGTTATCCAATCATCATGCTCACCTTGATCAGTTTTGGTGGCTGGCTTCCAGTTCTCCACACTGATGATGGGCAGACAGACCTGACCCTTCTCATCAATGTTGGGGTGGTAGATTTTTGTCTTGAAAGTGACCTTAGGTGGCTTAAAGGGGTACTCCGCGGGAAAGATGAGCTCAATCCTAAATGCTCCTTTGTCATATGGAGCAGAATCCTTGAAGAAAACAAGAATTTGTAGATGGGGGGGGGAGACAGAAAAAAAGTTAATAAAAACATTAAAGATAGAACAACTACTAGCTACAAAAGATATCAAGTCGATACTTACAGGAACAAGGAGCCCTTGCCAGTTCAAAAGATTTGTTTCATCCACTTGAATATTGCGGAAATGCTTCGCTCCGACATTGCGCATTTCATCAAGCTCCTGAAACAAAACAATTGATTTTATAATGGCATAAAATCATAGGATTACCAGGACCCCACTGACTCATAATGATTATGCTTGTATATGTGCACCAGCGGCGAGTGTACAGTCTGATGCAATAATGTGTACTTTTGTAACCATACATTTTGAGTTATTGCATTCGAGGTTTATTTCACACCAAAACAATCTACATTGATGAATAAGCCCGGCTAGCACTAAAAGTTAAGGAGAAAATATGTTTTAATATCTGGGTAAACTGTCCCTTTCTGTAGTGTCACTTAAAAGTTTAAACATAAACTGAACAGTCTCACCCGATTGCATTCCTGTTTATCAAACATCAAACATTGGATGCCTCTAACTTCCTATAATTCAGTAGCAATAAAACAGATAATTTGATCTTTGGTCCGGATCATCATAGACACAGTCTTTCCTCCCTGCTAATTTAAAATCTATGGCAAAAAAACAGGGATTTTTCAATGAATAACCAAAGTATCTTTTTAAACTCTCTTAAAGGTGGGGTAGGTAAGTTTGAGAAACCGGCTCGAGATACACTTTTTGTTATATTCCATGGAATGCTCTTAACATCCCGATAGCAATGAATATCTGAAGTGCTTTGACAAAAAATGTCATCTGGAAGCCGTAGTACTGTAAAAAGCACGACCAATCATCTGAGCCAGCCCGGCTAAAATAACTGGATGGCCTACCTGCCTGTCAGCCTTCCATCTGTGCACAAACTTATCTCTTGCCCTCATTGGTCATGTGCGCATTCGTGTGTGTTGGAGGAGGGGCTCTGTAAGGAAGTGGCAGATTTTTTCCGGTTGTGTATTTTAAAATTCTGGCACACTCCAGCTGGTTTCTCAAATTACCTACTCCACCTTTAAGTAATCCAGAAGCCAGATCATTAACAAATATGTTTGGAATATATGTTTGTAACCTCAAACATTCCAGCCGCCCCAGTAAAATCTTCTGATCAAAACCTCTTTCACCAACCAGACGTGGTAAGGGTTATGATCTTTACCAATACAGCATCAGTTAATGTTTCCCTTTTTTATTATTACAATGTTTGTGAATTATTTAAAAATATATATCTCTGCTCCTCTTCCTGTCAGGAGACACTTCCCTGTTATATACCTGTAATGTAAAACTGGAATATCAGGGGATTTCAGAAAGTATTAACAAGAAGTCTCTCGTGACACAGGGGGATATCCTGACAGTATCATGCACACAGCTAAATCAAAACCAAAACTGCTGGTGTGTCGCAGTGAAAGTGGAAGTAATCTAGGGACAGCCAATGAGAAAGTCAAAAATAAACTAAAATGAAATAATAATTTAAAAAAAATCAGATTTAGATATTTGTCACAACACAAAGGTAGAAGTGAAACAACCAATACCAAACTGTGAAAATCCTATTTTACAAGTAGGTCCTGAATCAAGTTACCACTTAAATAAGAGTAAAACATTATGAGAACAATCTACTTAAAATAGGCCTTATAATCTCCCAGACCTTCATTGTATTAAATGGCTGTGTGGTCACTATGGTTATCCATATCAAAATGATGTTAACACGTCTGGAGATACATGTATTTAACAAAGAGATGATCAACTTGTATCATTAAAGCAACTAAAGCTGTAAAAAGAAACAAGTACCTCTGAAATGTAAAAGTATAAAGTAGCCCAAAAAAATTGTAAATAGTCACATAATACCTCAAATGTATTCTGAATAACAATAGCTGTGAATAAATGTACGTAGTTACATTCCACTATTGTTTGAAAAAAAAAAAAGAGATTCCAACGTTCATCAAGGTAAAATAAATTAAATCCGGTTTTATTTCACAATACAATCATTTTCTGTGAGATATTTTGCCTAGAGGAGGCTTGACGTCAGGTCCCAACCCCAAAGTCTCCATGTTTTCTCTTCAGCCTTCAGACAGTGACAGCGCGTAAAAAAGAGCCGCCTCACTTCTCACCGTGAAGCTGTTTAATAAGCTCCCCCGATTCAATATTTATATCAAATATATTGCACGTCCTCAAGCTTTATCTGACAAATGTCCCTGTGTGTGCTGTGTCACGCCACACCGGCGTCTCAAACTTACAACTAGTTACCTCTCAGTCACCGTGTGTCGGACGTCGTTATCCTCTCATTTTTGTCGGACAGATAAACGCTAAAGTATAACGTTAAATTAACTTTCTCTTGGTCGACAGTGTTGTATGTATATTCATAAAGCCGAGACAAGTTATTTAAACCCTCGCTAGCAGCGTAAAATCAATAATTATAGATATTTTAATTTACCTTCAGTAGTCTCCTATTCATTGTGGTACCGATGTTGTCTTCTTCTCCTTCTTCCTGTTTCTTTCCGTTCCTGATCGACTTCTTTACATTTGGGTTTAAGTTGGCGCACAGCCTGCGGCCGGTGAGTTAGCGCCACCTACCGGCTTGGAGGGCAACGTGTTAGAATCAGATGAGGGCAAAGTTTCTTCTTTTACACAGATTTAAACAGAGACAGATAAAGTACTCAGATTAGTTACTTAATTAAAAGTAGCAATACAGTGTAAAAATACTCAGACACAAGTGAAATTCAAAATGTTACTAAAGAAAAATAACAAAAGTATTATTATCAAGATATACTTAAAGGTCAAAAAGTAAAAATACAAATGTTGCAGAATGGGCAATTTAAGCACCAGATATTTTTTATAATGGTATAATAATTATTAATTAATTAATGTGTTGTAATGTGCACTTGACTGGATGTGTCAGAACTTTCTCCAATTAAACAAAGATAAAACTGAGGTAATGGTCTTTGGAGCCAAGGCAGAACGTATAAAAGTTAGCGCTGAGCTTCAGCCTGCAATGTTCAAAACAACAGATAAAGCCAGAAATCTAGGTGTAGTCATGGACTCTGACCTGAGTTTCAACAGTCACATTAAAACAGTTACTAAATCAGCCTACTATCACCTAAAGAATATATCTAGGATTAAAAGACTAATGTCACAGCAGGATTTGGAAAAACTTGTCCATGCTTTTATCTTTAGTAGACTCGACTACTGCAATGGTGTCTTCACAGGTCTCACTAAAAAATCTATTAGAAAGCTGCAGCTGATTCAGAACGCTGCTGCTCGAGTCCTCACTAACACTAAGAAAGTGGATCACATCACTCCAGTTCTGAAGTCTTTACACTGGCTTCCTGTGTGTCAAAGAATAGATTTCAAAATACTGCTGCTGGTTTATAAAGCTTTGAATGGTTTAGGCCCAAAATACATTTCTGACCTCCTACTAAATTATGAACCATCCAGATCTCTCAGGTCTTCAGGGACTGGTCAGCTTTCTGTCCCCAGAGTCAGAACTAAACATGGTAAAGCAGCGTTCAGTTATTATGCTCCAAATATCTGGAACAAACTCCCAGAAACCTGAAGGTCCGCTATAACTCTGACTACTTTTAAATCCAGGCTGAAGACTTATCTTTTTGCCGCTGCTTTTAATTGAAACTGAGCCATTGTGTTCATCAGTAAAGTGGAACTTCTGTGTGAACTATTCATATCTTAAACTGCACTGTAACTTTTTATTCATGTATTTTTTCTTTTAATGTTTCTTTTATTATCTTTTACTGTTTTTAAATGCCTTCGTCTGAATGTCTTTCATTTTTGTAAAGCACCTTGAATTGCCTTGTGTTGAAAGGTGCTATACAAATAAACTTGCCTTGCCTTGCCTTGGTAAATGTGGGGTTTATTTGGATAACTTTCCTACTGGATAGCGTAACCTTTAATTTGTAGATCCTCGCCAAATACCTAACCAATATTTACTTTTTTACCCCAAAACTTTATTTATTTACAACAACAAAATAGCAACAATACAAAAACAATAAAAGCATCTACACGCCATGTAGTGGAAAACGTATTTTTAGTTTCAAATAAAATGTTCTTAGAAAAATGTGTTGGGCGTCTGTCAATGAAGCAACCTTCTGTGGACCATCTTGTTGCAGAGGACTGATATGATTATCAGATGCAGCAGACTGCTGTGGAGCCTCTTTGGACGTAGCACCCTCTTGTGGTAGGTTACAGGTCCCTTCAGGTGAGAAGGGTTTTGTTTGGGGTGTCTGGTGGTTTTACCTCTTCAGACCTTATTCTGATACACTGAGTTGAAATTGTTTTATTTCAGAAATGAAAGGTTATTGATATCTCCTCCTTTGACTAGAAAAAAAGTTTGTTCTTTTTTTTGTTCTTGCCACTTTTATTTGTTTGTCTTTGCTTTTCTTTACTGTGAAAATGTAAGGTTTTTAGCTTGCTCTTTTTAATTCTGAATGCCGGGTACAAACAATAACTTTCCTTAAATAATAATAATGTTATTTAAGCGTTACTTAATTGGCATGATACATACTTTTTTAAAGAAGAATTAAGTTATTTTGCTATGATGGTGGATTTTAGAATAGTTTATTATTTCACTTTAGTCGGTAATCCCTGTATGATAAATTGGTCAAATTAGTTAAAGGTTTCAAATGTTCATATAGTGAAAGTCTCGCATTTAGAATGTTACTCAAGTAAAAGTAAAAAAGTATTAGCATCCAAGTTTTAATATCAAAATAAAAAGTAATCATTATGCAGGTAAAGGTGCAAACATGTCTAATGACTTTGTATACTGCAGGGTAGCTTGTTAATGTGACTTCTTGAAATGGTTGTTTATAGTTCACATCATTAACCCACATCTACAAAGTAACTTCAGGTATTAAATAAAGGTAGTGGAGTAAAAGAACACTATTTACCTCTGAATGGTAGTGGGGTAGAAGTACAAAGTAACACAAAATGTAACTCAATTAAAGTATAAGTTCCCCAAAATTGTACTCAAATACAGTAGGCCTACTGAGTAAATCTAGTTAGTTACTGCCATGTCCATGTCCATAGTATGATACTACATCTTAAATGTAAAATAATTTCTTCAAATACTATATAATACGTGTGTAAATATGGATATAGCTGCCATAAAAAACTAAATTACTATCCCTTATCTGCACTATCATCCCAAATAATTTCAGTTTTGCATACAGGGAAATTACATGGCAGTCTTCCTAACACTGGGCTGAGCAGATCCTGTGACCTCCCCCCACAGTCTGTTCAAGATGGCCGCTTGAGTGGAGAATTTACACATCTCCAATAAAACTAATCCAACAGCTAGCTTTCCACACAACTTTATTTTCTCTAACTGATAATGGGACAACGATACGGGCGACGTGTGTTCCTATTTTAAAACGAAATGTGAGAATAATTGTTGAGGACGACGTCGGAGTTATGGAGTAAAAACAGTGCTGGTAAGGAATTCAGAAACAATCATGTTAACACACAGTAAGCTAGCTACTTTAGCCAGCTAACGCTTTCAATAATAATACTAACAGGCTAGCTTTGGCTAACGTAACACCTGCTTTAATCACGTTAATTCTAGATGACATACAACAGGCTGGTTAAGGATGCCTCACGTTAAAAAGTCATTAACAATTAGCTACAGACAGCCCTATTATTAACACTCAAGCTAAGTGTGTTTGTGTTTGATGTGGTGAACTGCTAGTTGCTAATGTTACCTGCTAACGTCAGTTGTTTCATATGTTTTGTGAGCTAACTGTTGTGTTGTTCGGGTTAGTTAGCCTGTTTGCTAAATGTTTAGCAAAAGGTGTACAAAGTAGGCAACTGTTAGCCTTCATGTTAGCTTTTTTTTGCTATATGGTTTAAGCTGAGTGTGTGCGTGATACTGAATGCTCTTTAAATGACAGGTAAACGTTGTATTCATGATATATAGCTGGACACCGGTTGCCATCACTGTTACCACGGTATCTATGACCAAATCAGGGATGTCAGCAGTTATGCATCTGTACACATCTACCAGGTTACCTGAGTTAGAAGATGTATTAAGATGTAATACTATACCTTAATAGAAGCACTAATACCTCACTTAAATAAAGATACGTGTAAGAATGAAAGTGCAATAAGGATGAGAGTGATAACACTGTAATCTGTAATGACACTAATGCTGTCAGACAAATGTAGACTCGTAAATTATACAGTATTTGCCCCTGAGATTGCCAGCAACTTTAACATAAACACATATTACTGTCATCGTTATTAAAGATGACTGTTGTTAACAATTAGTAACTCCAAATGTATGGAGGTGCACATTTTTTCTGTGATTATTAACCTAAGATGTGTATTTAGTAAGGCTGACTTCCTCATTCCCATCTATATTTAGCATCCATTGTTAACACTGTGACACAGCAATACAAAGAGAGTTGCTGAAGTATAAAGTAGTCAAAAATGTTGTTTGCGACACCAACCAACACAATTACACTTTTTGCAGACTTTAGTATTGTCTGTGTTGTGGAGTCAGTACAGCCAGTTCTCTCTTTATAAACAAAGTTTAAGAATCTACATCTGTGGATTTCTATGGAAAACAATACTTATTTTCTACTGAGCTGCCAAATATAGCCTTAGGGCTACATCTGTGTATAATATGGATTCAAAGGTTCTTTTTAAGGCACCTGCTTGTTATTTTTGGAAAAGAAGTGGACTCATTTTATTAAGCACCTGCTATTGTTTTTGTTTTTTGAAGTTGCTTTCAGTTGGAAGTTATTTTTAAACATTCTACAGATTTGCTTTTCTAAAATATGACCCATTTCCATTCACAGTGATATTTATTGAGTTCTGATAGTAATGTTATAAAGGCGTTAAAGTCTATTTGATCCATGAGTGGAACTCACAGGTAGGAGAATTAGCTTTTTCCCTTTACCTCTAAGTGATCAGTATCAAGCAGACTCCATTGTTTATTATCGATAGTGCGATTCAGTCTGTACTTTGTGGGTGTGCCTGTATTATGGGTCTGTATTGTCAGAGACTCCCAGTAAAGTGCCAAGGGTGTTGTTGTGTTAGCAGTTTTTGTTGTTATTGCATGCAGTTAGCTGCCTGACAGTGCATCAGGGAGTTAGCCCGCTGTGCCCCAAAGCACATTATCATTAGGCCTACACATTTCTCTCTTCCTGTGAAAACAATCTTGCAGGTATCTTCCCTCAGAACAACCATTACATCAAACATGCACATTTATCCTCTTACCTGTAAGGCTATTAATACATCTAGATTGTTTTGCACTACAATTAAGAGTTTTTTTTCACTGAAGTTGAGATTAGGGCAATTGAAAGTATTGTATCACGTTGTTTTCCTCTCATTAGGCGACAAAAACACATGCATACTGCTGGCCATCGGAAACTAAACAATATGACTGTGCGACATGGAGAGGGAAAATCATGACATCATCCTCAGGTGGTAGTGATCAAGCCTCAACCTTTTAAAAAAGGGAATCAATAGAAGTTGTTTTCACTGCATACAATGAGAAAAGTGGAAAGATAATACACTTTAATAATCAGAGTATAAATACTGTTAAACCCAGAGGAAGTGAATCAGTTGGGGTTGCAGTAATCTCTATTACTCACACATAACATGTTTGCTGTGCAACTGGTCTGTGTGAGGATAATGGCAACAGTTCCTTTTTAATTCAGGTTGTATAACATACTTATAGCTAAGATGGTGTTATTTCATTAGTTTTAATTTGGTCAGCTTTTCAATTTAGAATCACAAAATGATACACTTGCTTTGAAGGAGAATTTTTTCGCTACCACCAAATAAACCATAAATAGGATTAAAAACAAAGTGTTTAGCTTTTTCCCAGTATTGCAACAAGTCTTCTTTATCCCTACAGGAATTGGAGGGGGTTGAAGGCCCTTTGATTTAGCCCAGCATGGACAGCTTCTTCAAGGCGGCTGTATGTGATCTAGACAAACTGCTTGATGACTTTGAGCTCAACACTGGTAAGATTCAAAGTAGGCTGTACATTTCATATTTAGAAATTATGATTAAACTGTTTACTGATTTCTCCATTCATAATGTCCTTCTGTTGAATGCCAAACCAAGAGGGATAAAGTCCAATTTGACATGAATTATTTTGTCCCATCAGTTTAAAAAAAAAAATGATGACATTGAATACATAATAATACAGAACATAGAAAAGCATACATTTCACCTTCTTTGCCTAAAAAAGAAATGACGAAATGAAATAGTCAATAAATAATGCTCGAGTAAATATGTAACATGTATTGCATGACGTTGCTTTATATAAATCAGGTAGGTGGATATGACTGTATATACAGCATGCTTGCATTTCTATTTTAGAAATTCATCTGTGATAATATTCAGAATAAAAAAAAATGGTGTGTATTTACATATATAATCTACATAAATGTGTATTTATCTGAGTTTAACATGATTTGTTGTTTTTTGTATTACAGAGGAACATGAATGCAAGTCTGTTTTCCTGAAGCCTTCTGTGTACCCCTTCTCCTCACTGGGCTCTCAGTGTTTATCCTCCGAGGCGTCCACTGTCCCTCCAAACCTCCCCGACCTTAACTCTCTTCATTATGGTTCTGCCACCAGCTGTCCTGACCGCCCCAGCAGTCAGAACCGCAGTGCTGATGACAGGGAGGTAAAAGGTCAGCCTCTCACAGGGGTGGACCTCCTTTCCTCTGTGGATTGCAGGCCGCCTAAAAGCTCCGCACCTCCCTGCCCGGACAGAGCTCTGAAGCCAGTGTGTGACCTTGTGAACGACACAAGCTCAGCCATCCCGGTCAGGGCCAACAGCCACGATGCTTTCAGTGAGCTGGACATGGTGGAAAAGCAAATGGAGGAAGAGGAGACGCTGCTTGTAGACTTTGAAAGCCCTGTGGTGAATGTACATAAAGAGGATCAAGGACATTCAAGCCTAAGTGCAGAGTGTTCAGACACATCGGAAGCAAAACAAGCCTCTGGAGGGATGGAAGAGCTGGGTTTGGATTCCCAGGAGCAGCAGAGCGGTGGATACTCAGCCTCGCTCAGCCTGCTGGATGTCATTCTTCCTGCTGCAGTCGAGAGGAGCTGTGAGTCCACGGAGGATTCTCCAAGGCCCACTGAGTCAGCAGAGAAAGAGGAGAGGCATGGTGAGGAGGAGCCGTGCACAAACCAAGCCGTGGATAACTCCTTAGACCATTGTGAACCGGAGCCCACTCTGCCTGGTGATTGCATTCAAGAACCAACAACAACCTCAGTGAATGAAGAGGAAGCCTCACAAGAAGACTTGGGTGAAAACGAGTCCTCTGTCGATGTAAATTCAGAAGAAATTGAACCGGGGAGCTTATCATGCCTGCCTTTAGCTGTGTCCATGTGTGGAGCTCTCGTGAACATCAGCACTGAAGAAGATGAGTCGGGGGAAGCTGCAGAGCTGTGTGAGGAGGCAGCGATCACCTCTGAAAGCACCGAGGCAGACTCCCAGTCAGCCTTGGAGGCCAGAGAGAACCGGTCACGTTTAGAAGAAGCTGTTAACTCGCCTGTGTTCGTGCAGGTTTCAGAGGGCCGGGTGTCGCCAGAGGGGCAGCATCTCGCTCCTGAACCTGCTCCTCCTGCTGTCCCCTCTGCAGACCTCGCCTCCTACGATCTCCCAGAACCCAGCCCAGTGGATCCTCCAGAGTTTGGCTTTGAATACCTGCCTGAGAGCGACCAGGCCGAGCTGCTGGTTACAGACGAGGAGTTGGATGCTTTCCTGCAGGCGCACGCTGAAGCAGAGCAGGGTGGAGGCGTCTCTTACTGCGGCAGCTCTGGAGATTACTCTCACCCTGAGAGTCTCTCAGGGTCAAACGGAGATCTGGAGGGCAGGCTGGTGGGAGAGGAGCTGAGGAGCTGTAGTCGAGGGAGACGGGATGATTTAGAGGGTCTGGCTTCTCCAGAGAGCGACAGAACAATGTATGTGTCTGCAGAGGAAAGTTTGAACCCCAGTGCTCCATCACAGGACTCAAACAGACCTTGCCAAGAAGAACCAGAACTCTCCTCCGGATTAAGCCTATCTTTGACCAGCAACACTTTCCAGTCCCAGCACAGCAGTAGCCCCGATCAGCAGCCCTCCTATGGAGGTGCGAGACCTAAACAGCTACACTGCCAAACTGCTAGATCTCCACCAGCAGGGGAAGAAGGAGAGGAGCATTCTCAGACACTCACTGGTTCTACAACAGATCTGAATGCAGCAGAGGATGAAGACAGCTCACCAACCAGTCTTACAGAGGAGCATTGCAACATCAGGGATCTGAGCCCTATGTGTGCCTCCCAGGAGCATCAGGAGTACAGTATGGGGTATGAGGAACTCTCAGAGCCCCCTCCGTACCCCGGGGAGTCGCCCACTGAAGGGGCCAGGGCGGTGAACTGGAAGAGAGAGGGGGGGGAGGAGCTGGGCAGCAGACAGCCGGCCTGGGTGCCAGACTCTGAAGCTCCCAACTGTATGAACTGCTACCAGAGGTTCACCTTCACCAAGAGGCGGCATCACTGTCGAGCCTGTGGGAAGGTATGTTGCTCAGCTTGAAAAATATAATAATATCATCATGTAGTATATGAATGTAAATAAATATATGTATAATTATCTTGTATTCATATACTTTAACTTTATTTTCTTCATTATGTTTACAGCAGGTTTCACACTTCTAGCCAGCTGTTAATACTATAATAACCTTACATAACCATTTCCCCTTAAATATACAAATAATCATTTTGTAATATGTAAAAAGTGAACACATTTTAAAACAAAGAAGGAAATCAAAGCTTAAAGTGACATGTTCAAATAGCTGTTTTCTCTGATATACTGCCCACTATCCCAAACATATTCAATTTATTATCAAAGAATATATTTGTCCGGCATTTGGCTTTAAAGACTCCTGAAGCAATTTAGTAATTACCAGAATTGTTGCTTTTTTTTCATCAACTAATTCATTAACTGACATAACCCTCAGGCCATCACACTTCCTAGAGCCAACGGAGACGTTATCAGAAGTTGTGTCAGCAAGAGCCCAAAACCACAGAATATTAAATATATGCATCATGTGAGAGGAGTTGAAAGGTTCAGCTCTGTTAAAGTGCTCCGCAGCCTTTTTTGTTGTTCCAGGTTTCATTTCGTCCTGGGTAATGGTTTGGGTTAAGAGCCTTCATGTTGTCTATAAATCATTTATCAAATATTTCATATATGTCTAGTAATCCTTACTTTTCTGTTTATTTTACTTTTGTTGCTTCAGACTCTAGATGCATTTTCAGCACTGATATGAAACAGTAATAATGCAACGTGCGTGTCCTGATATAATTCAATGAAAGGGATTACGAACCGAGACCAAAAATAGCACGGTGGATTCACGGACGCAGAGAGCATGAGTCAGCATTTCTTTTTTTAGCTCCTCTACTGAGCCGAGTATCCTAAAGAGGGGGCTAAGTCCTTCAAAGGCCGGTGATTACATGGACTTAAAGGGGTCTGTTTGTTGTTGTTCACGCCATGAGTGCTGCCGCTCCAGGAACTAGAGAGCCACATATGTGGGTTGTTGTAGGGTTTTTTTATCTGCAAGGTGCTTTATAGTACATGACTTTAATCCCATTTCTCCTTTGTGACAGGTTTACTGTGCGGTGTGCTGCAACAGGAAGTGCAAGCTGAAGTACCTGGAGAAGGAGGCGCGCGTGTGTGTCGTCTGCTTTGATACCATACACAGAGGTAAGGCCCTGGTTCTGTCTGATCAGAGACTCACTTCCACATTGTTTTCCACAGACGTGAACAAAGTTCCTGATCCCAGAGTGTTAGCAGAAATGCAGAGTTATTCATGACTTGTTGGATGGCTTAGAATGCAGTAGTTGTGAATTGTTGTCCTCTGGAACAGGAAGAAGCTGTGATTTATGTGTGTGCATCTCCTGTAGGAAGACGTCCTGTAGCTGGAAAAGACTGGTTTTTGTAGGGATTGTTTTGAAATATAGTGATCTAAATTGTCTTTTTTTTACTTTTGAAGTTACTTATATTTGGAAGATCAGGTAGAAATAGTTTGCCATAACAGCTTCCCCAGGTGATGTGTATGTTTACAGCATGATTTTCTGCCTACAAGTGACCAGAGAAATCAGCTTTAATATTCAGATCAGATATCTTACTGCATCTGTATGGAGTCAGGTCAGGGGGGATAGAGTTGAGTACCCCCCCCCCTCAGAGGAACAGACTAACCCCAGGAGTTATTTTTAAATAGACTGAATTCACAAGTTGACATTAATATGTAATAACATCACAGTAACATTTCATTATGCAGCAGATGAATATTTAACCCGCAGAACACAAAAAATGTCCCGTACGACGCGGCCCAGGGGCTTTCTTTCACTTTAGTCTGCACATCCATTAAAAATGCAAACATTCATATCTAGAATCATGTCTTTTTATGTAAGTAAACAATATGTCTGTCTCAATGCACACAAAACAAACAAAGAAAAATGATTTTGCTTCGGTCATGTCTGCTTTGATGATAAAAGGCAGAGAGGCTTTTTATAGTTAAAGACTGCAGCATGGAAAGAGAGAGGGGGGAGGAGAGGGAGAGACGGGGAAGATGGATGGAGAGGGCAGGACAGGAGGAGGAGAGTTATAGCAGGACACTGGCATTTGTCCTTGATTGTGTGAGCTACAGGACCCGCCTAACGCAGCGGACATGTGATGCTAACACATGGCGTCTAAATTAAGAAGAAAGAGGTGATCCACTTCTGTGGCGGGTGGATGCTCGGGGGTGTGACGTGATCCCTCTCTCCTCTCCGTCACCCCCCCCCCCCCTCTCTTTCTCTCTCTTGTTTTTTCCTCCTTTTGCTGCTCTCCATCTCTCATAACAGTGTGGGGAGCTTGCATGTGAGGCATACTGCACTCACACCAGCCTCCAGCTAAAAGGCTAATACGGCTAACAACAGACAGAATAAAGAGAGCAGCGGCTTCAGGCCAGCTGTGATGGGAGAGTCTGAAGTCACACTGAGGAATAGGCTTGCAGTGATTTGGACTGGTTGAGTTTTAGCAGAGGGCAGGATGAGGATGAGGTAAGATGCATATGACTTCTTAAAAAAGTCGATTATTGTTTACTGCTTCTGTGTTTTGTTGGTGAGTTTATAATCTGTGCTGCCGAGGGATTTATGTTTATTTTGCTACTTAACTTAAAATGTTTTTTTACTTACTTGAAGTAATTTAAAGGAAATCCTTGATGACTTTTTTGTGCGTTGTCACCCTTTCCTTGCAACTCATCTGCCGTGTGACAGCAGAGTTTATTTTCCAGGGTCTGAATTAATGTAATGTATTTGCTGTGTGGTTCCTGTGCTTTTGTAAGGCACACTGTAGTGGTTGTCAGTACACAACGGATTGATAAAGATCTATGATGCTTAATCAATATAATGTAGACGAGTGCTACATCAGCATTTTCTGAAAGGCTGCAACCAGAAGGCATTCAGAAAGCCTCGCAGTCACTGCATGCTTTCCTGGGAGCAACAACTCATGTCTGTCCTGTTTTCAATAACCTTCATTCACTCTGCACTACATACTGCACTGTAGGGGGAAGAAAGCTGTCATTTGATGTTAAATATCTCTGATTCTTCCAGGAAAACAGTAAAAGCACACAAACTATATTTTCCAATCCAAAAAAGGAAAACTGGAATGTGCTGCAGTATTGCACTGTGTTAGACACATAAGCTGTTCCCAAGAGCAAATGACTCATTACAGTAATCACAAATCACCGTCACTGCCTTATGGTCATTGCAACATGGCTTTTGCTCTGCGGGCTGCTTTTCCAAGGTTTCCTGTACAGCTGCATGTCCTCTGAGTCCGTCCAGTCGTACTCATGCTTCCATTCTGCTTCTTATCTATCACACTTTGATATCTGATCACACACAGGATCATTTATAAGTTGCTTCAGGCACACCTTCATTTTTCAGAGTTGCTTTTACAAAAATCCTCCAATATCAAATACATATTTTCATCTGGGTCAAGGCCTTTAATAATAAGTATTTTTAGATGTTGTATTATCCCCAAAATACTTGCGATAAATTATATCATTTTAAGACCATTTTATGCCAATGACATAATAGCATTTTAAGCATCTTTGAGCGTTAGGAAAAGCGCTATACAAATTCATATTATTAATAATGCACCCTTTTTAAAGAGCAATTGTAATGATAATTATAACTGAAAAAAATGTGTATTATTGTGATAATTAGACTTAAATAAAAATAAAACTAAACGGCCACAAAAAAAATGGTATCAATAAATTAGCTATAGGTTAGATATAAGTCACCGCAACAACAACCCTCCTCTTCAACTCAGCTGAAAACCAGAATAATACGACAGCAGCTGGGGACAATAAGTCAAAAGCGTGAAAAAGACCACGGTCATGTCCATAAATTGTACAATAAGTCGATAAAGTAATTATAGTGACAGGCCTATCCTTGTGTCCGCGTTGATTTATAGTATTAAACTGGAAAACACAACCTTACCTGCTATTCCCTGCTACTGCACCCGCATACTGTGACAAATCATGACGCTACTTTTGGTGTCTAAAGACCCTTTGAACCTTGACACCACACAAATAGTAAAGAGAAGAGACTTGAGGACTGAACTGAATTCAATAAAGGAATACAAAAAATGTATGATCTGGTCCTGTAGCTGACATAAATGTTGCTGGTCCAAATGAACCGACCTCAAGTACTTCTGCTACGGTACTTGTATGCTGCATTAAGCTAAACTAGGTAGAAGGTAGAGATTAAACTTCTTAATATCATAATAGATACACGTTTTATTTTTGTGTTTATTTGATATCTTTACTTTTTTATTTGCAGATTATTGGTTATTTATAGCATATTTTTGCACTCTTTCCTATTTTGTACTGCAGATGCGGCACAACGGTTTCCCTCGGGTTGACCAAAGTCTGTATGGTTCATCCTGAGGGGACCAAGAATGTCTGTAAACAATCGTGACAATCCATCCAATAACCGTTTCAGAGTTGACAGGAGATCAAAATTAGTTAATTACCTTGTCATTTGTGCTCAAATGAACCCGCGGTGATGACGTCTTTCCCCTTGTAGCCCAGGCGCTGGAGCGGATGATGAGTCCTGCTGGTCCCAGTCCGAACCCCAACGTCCCATCTGAGTACTGCAGCACCATCCCCCCCCCTGCAGCAGGCTCGAGCCGCCGGCACTCTGAACTCCCCTCCACCGACCGTCATGGTGCCTGTGTCCGTTCTCAAAAACCCAAACAACGACAGTACGCTCACTCTTAACTACTGTGCACTCTCTGTGTTTAACTGTGGGTGTTGTTTTCCTGAACTGTACCCATTTAAAAGACGTGTGTTTCCTGTGTGTTACCAGGTTGTCCTCGTGAACAGAAGCGTGTGTGGTTCGCTGATGGCATCTTGCCCAACGGAGAGGTGGCAGACACCACAAAGCTGTCGGTGACGAGCCGCAGGAGCTCGCAGGAGTTCAGTCCGTCCTCTCCGGACCAAACTACAGTAAGATACATCATCGCAGTCTAGCTACAGGGAAACACTCAATCCTTCATTTTTACGACTGTTTTATGATTCATGATTTTTTGTTTTCAGCACATTTTCACACTTTTTCTAAGAAATACGGCTGCTGTACAAATAGATTATACATATTTAATGGAATGGTTCACAACAAAATTGAAAATACAATTTCTTCCTTCTTATCTGTTGGGCTGTAGTTTCTTGGGGATTTTTGCTGTAGAGATGTATGCCTTGTCTTGAATATAGTGAACTAGATGGCCCTCGGCTTGTAGTGCTAAAAGAAAAAGTTCCAAAAACATGTATTTGAAAAACCCAACAGCCATGTCTCTTTCCAGAAAACATGACCTGGTTGCTCAAGATAATCCTCAGACCTCGTTGTGAGCAGTTTTTAACGAGGGAACTACTTTCTTTCTACCATGTAACTGCACAGAAGAATGCATCTACTCATGGACGAGAGTGTGGTGCTTACTCATTGGGGGTTGTTGATCAGTAGAATGAAAATAGTTTCTACATAAAACTGCTCAAAACAAGGTGTTATCTTGAGTGATCACGATTTCTGGAAAGAGACATTTACGTTCAGACCAAATGTATTGTTTATTGGTACCTCAGTGACTGACCCTCTCATATTTTCAGCCCGGGTCAGAGGTCGGAGTCGGTGGACCCTGCTCCCCCGAAGCCTCCGGTGCTGTGGAGGTGTTCCGACCCCCGGTGTCCGGGCCCTGGGACTACGCCCTGCTCTCTGGAATTGGTTCCTGCGTGCAGAGGGTTCCCAGTCTGCTGCCGGATAATGAGGATGAGCTCCCTCCTCTGCTCATCTCCACCGGAGAGGATGAAGCGGGAGGTAGGTGTTTATTTTAGTATATTTGAATGGTTCTGACAGTTTTATAGCGCTCTTCAGACCAATTTATGTAAATGTGTTGGCAGCTTTACTATTTGGATCTATGCCAGGTTGCTTTTACGTAAAAGTCATATAGCAATGACCTTTAATTCTGCCATAAAACTTTCAACGCTGCACGATCTGATCTAAATACCTCTTAGATGAATGTAGAGGCTGCAGCAGCACAAGGTTAAATACACAGAGGGATTAAATGCCCATTGTTTTTCTGATTAGAGTCGCCGTAAAACACGTCTCAAATCAGTAGCACTTCCTCTGCCTAAAGGAAATACCACATAATGAAACATTGTGAGCCTATTGTTGTTCATGTCGGAACAGAAACATAAAAATCAAGGTGTGGAAAAATAGGTTAAAAACAGCAGTATTTAGTCCAGGTGTTTCCATACAGTGATGAATAAACTGTATACAGTATATGAGTATGAATACTCTTATAGTATTTTCTTTGAATATCTAATAAAAAAAATGTTATTTGCCAACTCCACATCTTCATCCTGTCATTTTGTCAAATGTAAAAAAGTAAGCAGCAGAATTATAATATTAAATAAATGGAATTTTTAATTAAAGACACATTTTAGGGAGCAGGATATACATGTTTTAAGACAAATGAAAACAATGATCTTACTTAGTAGTATTATCGCTCCTTCATGAACCAGATGCAAACAAAACGATGCTGTCCTGTCTTTAAGAAAAGCTGTAAAAGTCATCTATATCTCACTGACAAATGCAATCACACTTTTGCTACATACCATTCATGTAGCTTGACATGTGCTCTGCTGTGTTTTCCTTTCAGATGCTTTGGTTGAGGAAAGTCCTGCCCCCTGCCAGATTCGGCACTTATTAGAGGAGGGAGGACCCCGACCTCTGACCTTTGTTCTGAACGCCAACCTGCTGGTCAATGTCAAACTGGTTACCTGTGAGTAGAACACATCTCAAACATACATACTGCATATGCTGGCAAATGACTATCATGGATGTTTCTCCCAAAGATGGACTACCTGTAATTCTGTGTTTTGGTTTCCTCTCTCAGACTCCGGGCGGCAGTGCTGGTGTTTCGGCTCTAACGGGATGCAGGCTCTGGGACAGAGGGAGTTGGTGTTTTTGTTGGAGTGTTTGCCCGAGGAAAAATCCCTTCCAAAAGACCTTTTCACACTCTATCTCAACATTTACCAAGAAGCCCAAAAAGGTAGATACATCACACACAGGCCATCTGTTTGCCTTTGTGTTTAGCAACACGATCACCAGAGAATCTTTATTATCTGCTGCTACAGGGAAGTTCTTGGAGGAGCTGGATAATGTGACGTTCACCAGCAGTTTCCTGGGCAGCAAGGACCACGCTGGGATGCTGTTCTTCGCCCCCACCTGTCAGCCTCTCGATGACCTCACTCTCCCGCTGCAGCCCTTCCTGTTCGGCCTGCTGGTGCAGAAGCTGGAGGTTCCCTGGGCCAAAGTCTTTCCTCTCAGGCTGCTACTGCGGCTTGGAGCTGAATACAATGGTGTGTGGTTTTCTGAACGTTACTGTTGTGTTACCGGGTTAGTTTAATACTGTTTTGAGCTCAAATCATTTCAAAAAGTCATGTATTACAGTTTTGCTATGAATTGTTTCTTTATTATTAGAGATAAGACAATATTTTATTAAACTGAAAATATTTGATATGCTCAGAATGATCTGATTCCATCTTCTAATTCGTAAAAAAGTACTGTTTTCCTCCATCTCATGTGGTAGTTACTGATTTTCATTTATTTATTTGGACGGTCGGACAAAATAAGACATTTAAATAAGTCAAATTTAGATGTAAAACATTGACATTTTATTTTTTTCTCTCACATTTGTTGAACAAATGACTAAGAAAAAAGTATTTTTGGTTGAAACTGAAAATGTGATTTAATCCAAATATATTTGAGCAGAATTCTTATCCCCTAATGAAATATACTTTTTCATATATATTCCATACAGGTACATTTTAGGATGATTAATGATAGTGTCACAACCAGTACTTTTATGCTTTTACTGTATTTAGTGATAACAACTACATCTTGCTTTTGTTTTCAGTGTATCCCACTACATTGACAAGTGTCCGTTTTCGGGACTCTGTGTATCGAGAGACGGGACACACCATAATGAATTTACTGGCTGTAAGTACTAACACAAGCTAAATGATGCCTTACTTGTCTTCAGTCTTACAAAGTGTTGTCAGAATTAAAGCCAAGTACTTTAAAACTTAATCCCATTGAAACTATGATTATAGGCAGGGCTGCACATAACTGGTGCGCAGGTGCGCATGCGCACCTCGGCCAAAAAAAGAGCACCGGGTCATTTGAAAAAAGGCGCATTTGCGTACCAACATTGAGAGAGAGAGAGAGAGATAAATATATTTGCGAGTTGCATATGAACTCATGGTTATAGATGTTCGCCTAGGGCGCCAGATCTGGGGAGGTGCTGCGCTGGCAGTTCTGGGAGGGAAAAAAACATTTTTGACCGTTGGGGCTCATCCTAATTTTCGGTCTTGATGTAACAACATTCATAATTAAGTAAATGTAACACCCTTTTCACCCCGGTTACACGTTTCATTTGCCCTGTACGATGGGCGCTGTAAGTGATGAAAATGGGGGATGTTGGCTTATCTGGCGCCCGCAGCTCACAGCCAAAGTGCGAGTGAGCGAGAGAGATAGGGAGGGTGCACCGGTACCAGCGCTGTTGTTATTAGAATCTGGTGCTAGCTGCTCTAACGGAAGAAGAAGATGTTTCTACAATAATGTGGAGGGAGAGTCCTCTCCAGTCAGACTGAGAGGCTGATAACTACAGCTCAGTGAGGTAAAGGACTCTTGAGTGTTTAGATAGTTCACTTTAGACTAAGTTCAAACGGTTTGGTCACAATTTATGTAAACACATATTTCCAAGGCACTCCTTTATAATGATTGGGATAAACAGGTTTGAAATCATTCCAATGTATACTATAGGACAGTAAACAAACATATCCTTTTAAAACTGGACTTTCGACCCAAACCCAGCTGTTGACTTGTGGATGCAAGCAGCTAATCACAGACTCAACCAGAGAGGAAGTAGTAGGCCTACATCATCAGCTACCATGTCTGACAGAGAGGAAGACAGTGAGGAGAACAGTCAGGAGGGTAGTGATGACAGCTTGTAGGATTACTGGTCGTGCTAATGTTGTTCTGTGTTCACCTCTGCATGTGTGTTCTGTGTTCACCTCTGTGTGTTCTGTGCCGTGTGTCTGGCAAATAAAGACCGGTTTATTTATTTCATTTTAAGGATGAGCACCAAGCAACATCTCCAGGTGCTCCTTTGAGAACCAGGGCAAACAAGTTATGTGCACCCCTGATTATAGACTACTTTTAATTAAGTAGCAGAGGAACTCCTGTCTGCTGTTAATCATTCCCTACAATTCCCAAATCACACTGTAAAAGTGTTGATGTTTAGAGAGTTAAAAGAAAAGGAATTTAGACTATCTTTACTGTGTAGTTACTACAGTTTTGTAGCTTTAATCTACTACTACAACAAAAAAACAGCTTTAATACAGATGCCGTTGCAGTGTTTAATAAGACAGCAGTGAACCCCAATGCTATAAAAACATCTTCTCTTGTGACCTGAGAACATTTGACGCAGTTGATCACAGGATTCTTGGAAAGAGCTAAAGACGTGTCAGCTGTATCAGCAGGCTCCATGTCTTCAGTATCAGGGAAACACTCTGTCTTTGCTCTCAGATGAAAGGAGTTTGACATTTTCTACGTTTGCCTCGAGGGTCAGTTTTTGAGTTCCTAGAATGCACGGCCTTATTGATTTCATTTGGAGGCATGACTGCAAAGTCTGACAGAAAGACCTTTTATTTTATTTTATTTAATCGTTTATTTGGCAGGGACAATGCACAGTAATGAACACTTAAAACATTCAAATGTGTCAAGCGTAACAGTGCCAGATTTAGCTTTGAGCTGATTTCCATCTGCAGTCCCTCACATAAAACATTTAAGAAGTTTACATTTTACATACATAGCAAAAACAAAATACATGATATGCAAAAGGTGCAAAAGAGCAAGAGCAGCATATACAAGTATTTATGACATGGTAATACAATATAGCAGCAACGACATATAAAGTGCAAGAGAAGATACAAGAGCTACATAAAGTGCAAGAGGAGATACCAGCTGTATTAAAGTGCATTTAGCGGTGATTGCACGGATGTTTGTTTCTCAACCATTCTTTGAGTTGACCTTTGAAGCTATTGAGAGTGGGACAATCCCGTATCTCAGTTGGGAGGCTATTCCACGATGAGCTGCCTTTAATGGAGAGGACATTTTGTCCAAAAGTGATCCGTCTGCGGTGGACTTCACAGTCTCCTCTGGTTTCTGACCTAGTGCAGCGTCCAGTGTGTTTTTTGTGGATGAATTCCCCTTAGGGAGGGGGGGAGGGAGGGGCAGTCCATGTAAACATTTATAAATAAAGCACATACTTTTAAAAGACTTAAAATTGTCAAAGCTCAAGAAATTGTGTTTGTCTAGGATGGTGGTATGAATATGGCTTTCTGTCAAACACCTTGATAGCTCTTGTACAGCTGTTCTATCGGTTTCAGGTTTGTGGCACAAGCAAACGACCAGTCTGTGAAACAGTATTCAATGTGGGAGAATCATACAGTGGAGGTATGACTCTGCAGCATTGACAGTTAAGAAAGGTCTAATTTGTTTAAAATGTTGCAAGTTGAATTTAATAGTATTGGATACTTTCTTGATATGTTTTTTAAAATTCAAGTTCGAGTCCAGTATGACTCCAAGATACTTGAAGTGGGAGACTAGTTCTATTTCTGCTCCGTTTAAAAACACGTTGGATCCTTCGATTTTGACTGGTCATTTACTGAACATCATGCATACTGTTTTTTTGTACGTTTAACTGTAAGCAAATGTTGTTCAGCCAGTGTTGAACCTTGCCCAAAGCATTAGAGACAAGATGAGATCATTTCAGTGTTTTTCCCGTGTATAAAGATGACCGAATCATCGGCATACATTCAACTCAGGACATACATTATGTTGTAAATGTATTATCTTTTCGATTTACACACGGCATCTATTGCACGTCTGTCCGTCCTGGGAGAGGGATCCCTCCTCTGTTGCTCTCCCTGAGGTTTCTCTCATGTTCCCCTTTAAACTGTGGGGTTTCTGTGGAAGTTTTTCCTTGTACGATGCGAGGGTCTAAGGACAGAGGGTGTCGTATTGTCATAATAATATTCTGTACAAACTGTGAAGTCCACTGAGACAAATGTAACATTTGTGATATTAAGCTATATAAATAAACATTGATTAATTGATTGACATTAGGCAAGTCATTAATGTACAGTGAAAAAAGTAACGGTCCAAGAATGGAACCTTGTGGAACCCCAACAGGGTTGACAAGGTAGGGGGATTTGGCACTGTTGACCAAAACACACTGTTTTCTGTTCGATAAGTAAGACTTAAACCAATGTATTGAAACTGCCGAAAAATGTAAATGAGTCAGCTTTGTAAGGAGCACTTGGTGGTCAACAGTGTCAAAAGCCTTCCTGAGATCAAGGAAGACAGCACCTACATATGTGTCCAACATACATTTAACCTTTTCCACAAAGACACAGTTAGCTGTCTCAGTGGAGTGGTGAGCACGAAACCCAAACTGCATTGGGTGGAGTGGAGCGAAACCTTTGTCTAAATGTTAGGTGATTAGTTTTGACACCCTTTTCTCAGCTACCTTAGAGACACAGGGGAGGATGCTTATTGGTCTATAATTGGACATCATTGCCTTATCCCCAGATTTAAAGATCGGTGTCACCGTGGCCACCTTCCAGGATGATGGAACTTCCCTCGTGCTGATAGATTGATTCACTAGCATAGTAATTAGTTTTATTAGACCGTCGATATTTTTCTTTATCAAGTTGGTGTCTAAATCATCTGCATCCCTGGCCTTAGAACCTCTTAACCCTGAGATTATATGTTTTACCTCAACCTCTGTGATTTCCTGCAGGTCAAAAACGGGGTGTGTATCCACAGTCGGGGCTGGGTGAGACCTCAGATGGCGGGAAGAGCTTTGTAATGTCCAGAGCACTATTTATGAAATACTCATTGAGAGAGCTGGCCAAGACTGCAGGGTCTTTTATCAGGGCATCATTGATTTTTTATTCTAGAACATTATTTTCCTGTTTGGTTTGTTTACCTAATAGTTTATTTAAAATGTGCCAAACGTTTTTACCGTTACCTTTCGCACCTTCAATGATATTGATGAAAAAGTTAGCTTTGGCCTGTCTTATTGTTTGTGTTACCTTGTTACGAGCATGAGTGCATTTCTGTCTATCAGTGGATAGTCCGGATTTCAAGCTCTGCCTTAATAGTTGGTCTCTAGATTGCATTAGATTCCTGCATTGTAGATTCAGCCAGGGAAGATGATGTTCCTTCCTGTCCCTAAGGCACCCTCTTCTTGAGAAGGAAGACATTGTATCATTCATTTTAGATATGAACAGATGACTGTTTTCACCAATGTCTTCAGAGGACAGAGTGTCTCCCCAATCAATCATTTTCACTGCATTCATAAAACGTTGTTGCAGATTTTTGGGGATGAAGCGAGAACCCAAGGCAGGGGTTCTAGGTGTGGCCATGAACCTTTTTTTTGTGAGTTTCCTGGCAAAAAGATCAAGATTATGGTCAGAAAGACCAGTCAGGAAGTTGTAGGTTTTAACTATTCTGTCAGGTTTATTATTTACTAACAAAGCTATCATAGTCTTGGAGGTTTTGGTTATTCTAGTCGGTTGATCCATTAGTTGTATTAAGTTGTGTTTATCCGTGATCCGTTTGAAGTTCTTTCTATTTTGTTTGTCATTCCAGTTTATGTTAAAGTCTACTAAAATGATTAGCTCTTTGTTGGAGTCACATGAGTTTTACCTGATCATAGACACCCACCTTAGCGGTGGGTTGTCGATATAGGCAAATCATGGTGAGGGACATTTCCTCAAAGTGTGATTTCCACACCAACACAATCAAACTCAATATTAGCTGGGAGTGCAATCTCCCTACAGGTAATGGTATCCCTCACATAAAGCAACACCCCCCCCCCCTAATTTTCCCTTCAGTCTGTCCTTCCTAAACACATTATATCCTGACATAGATACAAGAGTGGATGGTGACGACTGTTTTAGCCAAGATTCCGATATTCCCAAACAGTCAATATTGGACTCAAGGAGGAGATGTTCTAGCTGTTCATGTTTATTACAGATGCTGGGAAATGTAAATGTCCACCGAATAGTCCCTTCGGCTTGGCATTTATCAGATATACTCTGTGTGTTTTGTTCTACGTGACAAGTTTTACACATCATCAATTACAAATGGCACTTTCTAAGCCACCATTTAATTGTGTGAATAATCAGTCCAATAATACTTAGTACATCCTTTGGTTCAGTATTCCTAAACTGTAAATACTCCACAGGACCTGAGGAACTACCAGTACAGTCTGTCGGTGGTGGAGGGCCTGAGGATCCACATGGAGATGGGCCACAGCTACATCGAGATCCCCAAAAACAGCTTCAATGAGGTAAGAGAGCTGTAAAGGAATACCATGACATCTTGGGCAATTAATACATATGAATCCAAACACAATAGTATAATAGTAAAACATTGACAGAGAACATTTAGCTGCACAATTAATGTTTTACTTGTATTTTAATTGTATGTAAAGCACTTTGTAACAGTATAATAATAATAATAATAATTTGTAAGGTTTTTAATGCAATACTTTGCTCGTAGTAGTACGTGTATGGTTTTTTCAGAGTGTGGTTTAGAAAATCGTACTTAAGTAAAGGATTTGAATACTCCTTCCAACTCAGCCAAATAACAAAGTTCCTCTTTGTCTGGTGAAGTCCAAGATTAGATTGAAATTGAAAGAGCCTTTCCACAAAACATAAAACATGTGCACTGGGAAACACGCAGCTCTGAGACACTGTGAATGTGTCTCCAGATGCAGAAGGTGGTGAATGCATCCAACGAGCACGTGATCAGTATCGGAGCCAGGTTCAGCTCGGAGGCCGACTCTCACCTGGTGTGTTTCCAGAACGAGGAAGGGAACTATCAGACGCAGGCCAACAGCAAGCCTGGCAAGACCCGCACAGGTGAGAGCGCTCAGTAATCCTGCCTGCTACTGCATCCAATCAAACTGAAGAAGACCAGTGAGCAAAACAACATCAACAAATCAAGTTATGTGTTGATAAAGTTTCTGTTTTATGTAAAGTGTTAACCGTCTGATGGTCTGTGTTTCGTTGCAGTGACTGGAGCCAGTTTTGTTGTGTTTAACGGAGCACTGAAAGCCTCCTCTGGATTTATTGCCAAGTCCAGCATAGTTGAAGGTAAAGTTAAACCCATCTTTTAGCTTTCAAATGCAATGAAAACAATCTGCTGGTAATAAAACATGTTTGTCCATATCCCTGTTCATTTGATTTATTATATATTCACTTCAACTCACCTCACATAGCACTGGGCTTTAAAAGAAAGGGATCCTGTTAGCCTGGGTGTCAGGTTTCCACCTATCAGAGACCGATACGATCAGTAACCACTGCACTCATTTGTCCCGGGAATTAAGGCACATTCAAATCTTTCCAGTTAAAGACAAAAGTGATATGTTTTATGGCGTTCGGTTTACTTATTGCTGGGCGCTTATTCTACAATGCTTTGAGTTGAAACTAAACATGGAGAAGCAGTTATTATGCTCCAAATATCTGGAACAAACTCCCAGAAACCTGCAGGTCCGCTGCAACTCTTTTAATCCTGGCTGAAGACGCTGCTTTTAATTGAAATATTCATATCGTACAATGCAGTGTTACTTGTATTGTATACTTGTGTTATCCTATATTGGCTTCTTCAATGTTCATTTTATTATTTTCTGCTTTTGAATGACTCTTTTTAAATGCCTTTGTATAATGTGTTTGCGCTGCAATATTTGCTTAATGTTTTTCATGTTTGTAAAGCACTTTGAATGGCCTTTTGTTGAAAGGTGCTGTATAAATAAACTTGCCTTGCCTATTGTGTTTGCGACCAACACTAAATGGAATTAATTTTCTCTACACGTCAGATGGGTTGATGGTGCAAATCCCCCCAGAGACCATGGAGTCCCTGCGCACCGCCCTGAGGGACCAGACAGACTTCCAGATTCCCTGCGGCAGGAACGATGGAGGAGAGGTCCGAGAAATCGTCACTGTCCGCTGGGTCGACCTGAGTTCACCCGTCAACAGAGGGTAACGGCACAAACACACACAAGTGTTTACACACTGTTGTGCAATCTGTCCTGCACCGCATTACGAACAAACCTCACTCTCTGTTTCAGCTGGTCATATGTGAGGGGCTCCGTGTGTGTCACGGATTTTGGTAGAAGCATTAGATGTTTTTGCTCCTTTTCTAAAGTTCTCTTGACTTTACAGTACAGGTGTAACGATACACAGAAGACACGCTAAGGAGACGTACATAAGGATTTCTTCCCAAAATGTAACTGGTCAAAATAGGGTATAAACCGAAAGGATCTCTTAGGCTGTGAAATATATCAAATTAAATTACAAGAAATAACTCTTGTGCATTAGGAGGAATGTGTCACATACACCTAAGCTATGTCTAAACATTCAAAGCACACAATTATAAATGTATTATTGCATGGTTGTAAAACGGTGAAATGTTAAACACTCATAACCATGTAAACTCCATAGCACCGTTCTTGTCTTATACATAACTCCGTTGGTGCAATAGCTGACCGGGACTAATTATAGTGACTTAAATGTATTTGAAATCTTTTCTTTTCTTTCCTCTTGCTCCTCTGCAGCATTACCAGCGGGGTGGATGGCAGACCTCTGGATGGGGTCCGCAGTGTGAGGGTGCAGCAGGACACTGAGTTTGAGTCTGACGGACGCACCATCAGTTGCACAGAGGTGAACTTGTATACTGTCATCCTTTACACCCATTTGATGCACCGACAGTCCAGGTGTGAGAATCTCTGAATGTCCCTCCAGGTGTTCTTCCAGCTCAAGACCCCGGACAGCAGCTTCTCGTCGGTGCTGTCGTCCTGCAGCGTGTTCCAGAAGGAGATGGCTCTGGCCGCCTGCAGCGCTCTGACGCCTCACCTCGCGGTGCTCTCCTCCAGCGGCATCAACTCACTCACTCTGCGCATCTCTACACAGGCTGATATGGTAAACATCAATACTTGGTACAAGGGCTACACCATTAATCTAAATATGATCGCAACATGACCTACTGTAATATCCAAATCATTGTAACTGCACTATTTGGTAAAGGCAAAATAAGTATATGAAGTGTCCTGGCCAACAAATGGTATTTTAAAGGTCACCTATTATGCAAAATGCACTTTTTCATGTCTGTTATACATCAACATGTGTCCCCTCTGTGTAAAGAGATTCTGGAAGTTTCAGGAACAAAGATTTGCTCTCTTTTTGTCCTGATCCGTTTCTATAAACCTGTCTGAAAAAGAGATTTTGGCCACGTTGTGATGTCATAAAGTTTGTTTGGCTTGTGTAACCATTAGCCAATCACAAACCAAGGTAACCCCCAAATCTCTCTCAGAGGGGCGTGGGGAGGGGCTCCTTATTTTCATCTAAAGTAACTGACAGAGAATCAGCACTTTTGGAACAGGGCTGAAACAGAGGGGATTATGGGATGCTGCAATGATCTGTTTGGAGTTTGGAGCCAAACACTCCAAACTCTTAAAAAAAGTACTATTAACATGTATACATATTTTTTTCAGTGATGATGAAAATAATGCTTTAAAAAATGGTCATTCCCTGTTATATACAAATTACAATATCAGTCAAAATAATCGCCATTAGTTATTTAATCCAAATTTATTTAGTCCTCTGCCTAATTAAGGAGAGCTGTGTTAAATGTCCCCCTGTGCTCCTCTCAGGTGGAGTACCAGGCGGGCTGCGGGGGCCGGCTCCTCCCTCAGCGCTACATGAACGAGCTGGACAGCGCTCTGATCCCCGTCATCCATGGCGGGAGCGCCAGTGTCCCCCAGACTGCCATGGACATGGAGTTCATCTTCTACATCACACACACCATCTAATGCACATGCAGACACACGAAAACAAGTATTGGAGATGGCTGAGCACAGAGAGAAGCTGTAGATGTTGGCGGGACATGCCATGCAACATGTTTGCACAGTTTGGACATGCAGCCAGTCGCAGCGGCACAAAACTCTCCCTCCCCCCCCCTGAGGTTGGGAGTGTACTTTCGGAGGGCTGTAAACTGATGTTCTGTTATCGAAGTGTTTTCCGTGCTCACCAAAGCTGCTTTAAAACAAGACCCTAACACTAAACAAGGATTACGCAACATGACCAAATACAACCAAGCTCTTCAGCCCGTTTCTTCTGCTCTGCCTTCCAGGCTCCCTGCTGCCTCCGTCAGCTCGGAGCTCCTCAGTGAATGTTTCCCACAGGCGCTCTATCGACATGTCTCTCATTTGGATGTATTTATTATATTTTATGGGCTTATTGAATGAAATGATGGTATTAAAGCAAGGGATATTACTGACTGTAGTTTTCAGTACTTCGGAGGCGATACGTGTGATCAGGTGCTCGCCCCGCTCTTAAAAACCGCAGGGATAGAAATAAATCGCATCTCATTTCCTCTCAAGGTACTATGCTCTCATCTCATATGCTGGGGTAAGATGACTGCACAGGAACACTCCGGGCCTCATGCAGGAAATATTTGGGTCCTAAACTTCTGACATTTTATTAGTAAAGTTTTCCTTCCACCATTGTTTCAGTTAACTATTACCAAACTCATTTAAAAGTGATAAATGAAACAAAATGTGGTGATAAGCATAATCAAGGCCACCAAAATCGACTGAAGGACATGGAGGTGGACGAGAACATTTGACAGTGTTGTAACATGTTCAGGTGCTGTAACAGGAATGAAAAATAGTCATCGTAAATTTGCAGCCATACATGATGGTGATATGTTGATAAGAATATTAACTTACAAAGGAGCTTATTTTGTGTTTAGGTAACGTATTTAAATTCCTCCATAATCGCGATTTTTAAGTCAAAACAAATGTTTTCTCCTGCTAAACATGTATTGTTCAACAGATCCTGACTATAAAATGAGTTATTGATCTGAAGAAATTAAGTGGATTTCCGGATCCTTCCACGAGGCCGGCTGTGTGTCAGTAACAGGTTGTGTGTCCGGATCAGCTCATCTCCACAGGAGGATACATGTGGCTTTATAATCCAAGAGGTGATCAGCCATCTAGAACTGCCTCTCCATGCTAAGAGTGAATGTGGCCGGTGTGTTGGAGCATCCTGTCATGGATCAAACTCAAGTTCATTTAAAACATTAGCATTACGTTTTGCTTTTCTTATTTTCTGCTTCAGCTAACAATTTCTAGACATGTTTACTTCTGATGGAGCATGTGTTACTTTATGAGCAGCATAGCGTCCTCTTTCACGGCTGAAATACCAATGATTTCTTTACTTCAAGATATTTGATGATGTCTCCTTCAGGGTTTGAGTTAAATGATCAGATTTTGCACACCTGATGAGAACTTTACACCACATTATATGGCTCTGTAAGCATTTTGAAGTCATCTCACACTTTTTTGCATTTTTTAAATTAAGCAATTCTACATGTACAGGCTTTTGTGAACACTTTTAAATGAAAAGATCACCTAGAAATATCGTTATTGGCTTTCTTGCTAAGAGAGGAGATTAGTCGATCTGTTAGTGAAATATAAAGAAACTCGGTCTGTAGCTTCTTATCTAGAGCACCTGAGTGATATCTTTTAACTCGGCAAAGAATAAGTACGTTGATTTCCGGAAATTATTTAACAAATGCTCAGAGATCTCTTGTGTGTGTCCTGAGGGCAGTAGAAGTTCTCTCGTGTTTTGTATGGAGCAGGAACTCAAAGTGTTTTATCAAAATATCCAAAGCAGGCTATATATATTTTGTATTTATTTCATGTATTTCCCATTAGCTTTAAGGCTAACCGTTAAAACACTGTCACATGTAGGTTTTTAATCAGTCAATAACAACAGGGATAACGTCGCCCTTTTTGCTTCACCAGCTTGTCTTTATCGCCAAATGTAAAGCTTGTTTCAAATGCCAGTATCCTCGTACGAGTGATGTGCTTAAAGGCAGGGCTTATGATAAAAGTATTATCTTTAAATTCAGAATGAAAGAGCGCACACAGGTTTTATTCCTGTGAAATGCATCCTGGTTAGCACGCACTGTTTAAAGGAGCTTTGCAGAATTCAAGTCTCAGTTTTTTCATCTCGTCCCAGAAGCCCCCTTTTCACTTTTTGTCTAAATGTATAAAAGAAAAACTGTAAGCGTAGAGATTTCTTTTGGTGTTTTCTTGTTAAAACAATGAAGAGTTATTTTTGGAATCATTGGTACAAAAGTAAAAATAAAACAGAAAGAGTTTATATTTTTGATAGGACAATAGGCTACATTCATTTTGAAGTTTGTGTAGCATCCTTGAAGCACTGAGAGAAATTTAAAAAAAAACACTAGACAGTTAATCACAGAAATAAAGAAAAAATATATATAATTTTATTATAAGGTGGAAAATGTGTAATCCCTAAATGCAATGCATAAAGAATGTACAGTAAAGGTGTACACATCTAAATAAAAGCAGCTTTACACCAGCCGTAAGCTTTCTACAACTTTTTATTTTGTTTATTATATATATGTTGATTTCAAAATGACTTGATGATCAGAGATTAGTCTTCTTTTCATTGAATGGCCATGACTCATATATACTGAGGATGATTCTTACTGAAGTTTGTCTAGCGCCACCCGCAGGTCGAAGGTGAAAGATGTCAACATCTCCTAAATGGAATGGCACCAAATGACAGGCATCAGTAACACTTTAAATGCATTGGATGGCGTTTATTTCTAATGTGGAACTGGTTCTTAACAATCTGTTTGTTACCAATGTCGGAAAAAAGTGTTAGTGGCAAGTGTAGTTATGCAGGTTAGTATATTTCCACCTACAGCAAGCATTTGTCTTAAAGCCCCCATCATTTTTTAAATATATATTTAAAAGGTCCCCAAATTTCAGGTTTAGTATCAACATTAGGAGATATGTAAATAAGTGTACAAATCCAACTTGACAGTGGACCAAACACACCACCAGTGGTTACCAGATAGATGTTATGCTTAGTTCTGATTGGTGCATGTATCTGTGACATCATCTCTTAGCCCCGTCCACTTTCAAACCACATATAGCAAGCTGATTTAAAATATGTTTTCCGGGTCCTTAAGCTCCATCTTCACTATCCTCACCTTCCCACCATCAGATGTATTTTGGTAGTTTCCTGATCAGTCTTTGAAGTAAACACAAATCGGTTTGAGTGGAGATCTGCGTCTTGATGCTTTACATTGAGCAAACGGTGGGAAGGTCAACGTGTTTCACCTGCTGTGCAAATAACCTCAAAACAAGCCTGATGTTATCTGACGGCTGATGGATTTTGACAAAGGATATTATTATTATATAAACGTTTGAGCATTACAAACAGATACATCATTTTTTAGCAAGTTAAATTAGTATTATTTCTTGTTTAGGGTGATCAAAACAACTTTCTTCTTGAGTAGTACTTTGTGATTTATGATTGTGTTGCTTTGTGTAAATCATCTATTTATTCCTAAACACCAGCTTTTATTTGGGGAACCTGGTATCTGGGTCCTAATCATCAGTTTCTGAATAGCTCCTGTATTTAAAGAATAAAATGACTTTTATATTTAAAAAAAAACATATTTGTTTGTAATCTTTCAATCCCAGAATCTTTGGCACCTCTAATTTAATTCAAACCAAATTTCTAAGTTTCCATTTCAAAAATGTCTATGATAATCTTAATAGAGCCATCAAAACCCAACCTAATTGTACTAAGTACTGCACTTAGGTAAACGGTTAAGGTACTTTTACTTTACTTGAGTATCTTGATTTTCCTTATTCTACTTTTGTATTCAATTATTTATTCAATATCTTTTTTTTTTACAAAATGTAATCAACAAATAAATGATGATTGATTAAATCACCTTTTACAAACTGCAACAATGAAATCAATAATTATAATACTTATAATAATTGCTATCCATTAATATAATACACATTGTTCTAGCTATGTATAACTTCAATGTCTCATTTTGCATGACATCACTTTTAATGTATATATTAGTTATCAGTAATACAAATCAGATAAAACAGGTTTGACATTAAATAATAATCTACCAACAATTTTAAAAAAAAGTTTTCTTTAATGCCTCACTTTCTCAACTGGACTGTGTGTGTGTGTGTGTGTGTGTGTGTGTGTGTGTGTGTGTGTGTGTGTGTGTGTGTGTGTGTGTGTGTGTGTGTGTGTGTGTGTGTGTGTTGTGTGTGTGTGTGTGTGTGTGTGTGTGTGTGTGTGTGTGTGTGTGTGTGTGTGTGTGTGTGTGTGTGTGTGTGTGTGTGTGTGTGTGTGTGTGTGTGTGTGTGTGTGTGTGTGTGTGTGTGTGTGTGTGTGTGGGGTGTTTTGTCCTCTCCCTGTCAGTTTCCCTCGCCTGCATTTCATTCACAGTTTGGGACAGACACAACAACAGCAGGCATGAGTGGACGAGTTGGAGACTTGAGCCCAAAGCAGGCTGAGATATTAACTGAGGTAAACATATTTATATTCAAGGATTTCTATGATTTCACTAATGCATTGATACTGAACGAGTGTTTCGTGCTTTGTGTCTCTATGGTTGCTTTTGTTGTGGTTTCACAGGGATTCTATGGTAACTACAACTCTCCACAGTCTGTTTATTATTAGAGACGTTGTTTTTATTTGTACGTGACTTTCTTACCTCTGTGGTACATACACTGTACTTAAACACACTTTTGAGGTGCTTGTACTTTACTTTAGTATTGAGATTTTATTCCAAGGTGTACTTTACCACATTTAGGGAATGCTGCAGTTTTTATTCAGCTTTTTTTCCTCAAGATTAAAACTTTGCACAAAAAACCCATAATAAGATTATGAATAACTGCATTATTAAATGAAAGAAGGGAAAGAAAAGAGAAAAGTTGCAGAAGAAAAAGTTAAAAAGGCTTTTTACATGTGTGTTTCTATATCTTTTATGACTGGTTAATATTCAGATGAACATCTTCATATGAAAAATGGGATATTATGAAATTGTATTCATATGAATAAATCTAACTTTGACACTGTAGTGAAAACTATCTCCAAATCTAAAGTGTAATTGCCTTTCAATGTGTAAGTAGTGATAATCCAATAACATACATCCTTTTCGCAGACTAGCTGTGTTCACCTGTCTTCTGCTAAGCTAAGCAAACTGATAGTTTAATATGTACATACAAACATGAGAGTTGTTTTAATCTTGTTTCTTGAACAATTGTATTTCCCAAAATGTCTCACTATTTCTTAATGAATATATATATATATATATATATATATATATATATATATAATTATATATATATTGTGATAATGTTCTGTTTCTTGTGGTTTCCTGTGTGTAGTTTCGGGGCAGGATCCAGGACGTCCTCCCCAGCCTCCCCGCGCAGCACGACCACTACCTGCTCCGCTTCCTCCGAGGTAAGACACCTGCAAAGGCAGCATTTAGCAATCAGCCTTTTCTCTGTGGTACCATGCTGGCAAAACAACCTTCACACAACCAGCCACCAAATACAAGGTGACTCCTTGAATCCGTATGAGAAACCCTGAGTAGGCTACAGCACTTGTATTGTATTCAGGTATCCGTAACAGGACATATCAACACATTTGTATTACTTTTAATTCTTTAACTGTTTGGCACGCAGGACAACTGGCATACTTTTTAAATTGTTCAAAAATATTGGATTTAAAAGGTAGAAAATATTAGACATTTAATGTAGGCATGCAGTAATGAGGGGGTCTTGTTTTAAAGAAAGCAACATAGAAGAGATTGGTGAGTTGAAGAGGATCAAATCAGTTCTCTGACAGCCACTAAAGCCTGCAGCCCTATTCCCCTCACAGTCCTGCTCTGAATCCGGCCCTGCAGACATGTGAAAACATGGGGACTGTTGTTTGTGATGAACCAGAGTGAGGGTAGTTTCTGGCATTAACTACCACAGGCAGCTGAAACATTTAGAATGAATGGCAGCCAATACAACACCAGAGGAAAGTTCTCTCAGTCAGTGATCAGGGTTATCATGTGAGGTTAAACCCAGGCATGGGGGGGTTTCCAGTTACTTGAAGTAACAGTATAACAACGTCATTGTTCTGCATTGAATCACTAGAGGTCATACCATACTGAGACATGAAATAATTAGCAGTATTAAAGGGGAACAGGTGTTCTCTAAAACCAGTCCTATTTGTTCACAGTGGGGTTATAAAGTAGCCTCTTCAGTGGAGTTAGAAAAAAGGAGTTAGACAAGTTTCAACTATCCTGTTTCCAAGTGGTATTATAGTTAGCCGCTGCTTTGCAAAGACAAGAGCGTTTTCCATTTGACTTAGAGCGTACTTTGAGTGAAAAATGTAGTATCCAGACCAACAGGGACCAAGCAAGAAATACATATTTAAGTAAAGTATCTCGTACTTAATATCTTATAAATCTAAACACTGATGGTGTCAATTTTGTATAACCATCACGTTGTACTGTTTACTTAGTCACGATAAGTTAAAGCATAACAAATATCTTTCGTTGGTTTACATCTAACATTGACCACAATTCAACCCTCCCAGGTTCGATAACGGCCCTCAGAGCTCAACACACAGAAAGTAATTAACATAATTAATCAGAGTTTAGTGTTTGTTATGAAGTTATAAAAGTCAGCGATCCGTCAGTTGTGTTGGGAAATGAACTACATTGTGTGTTTCTCAGTGGAACCATAAGTGTGTCCAATCCATGTGCAGCACCTCTTAAGGTTCCCCTCAAAACAGTTTCCATTGCTGTCTTTCAAAAGTTACAAAATGTTCACTTTGTTTAATCATTCATTTATTTCCTAAAACACCGCCCTCCCCCCTGACCCTGTGGCCCTGAAACATACTGTGTAGTATTGACTGAGCAAAGAGACATTGAAGTACCTCAGCTCAACCGTCTTATCTTACAGTAAATGTTTGAACTAAATTCGACCTTAGTTGAACTGCAGTGATGTCACTGGATGAACTTTCTCCTCCTTGAAAAATAAGCCTTACTTCCTTAATACAACTTAAAGAGGTTCCTATGACGTACTTTTTACAAATGAAGTCAGGTCCTCGGTCTTCTTACCAGGAATTCTTGTCATTTCTGATGTTATCTCGACGGATATTGAGCTGGTAGTTTGTGGGACAGGACATGCAGGACTCTGTGCTTTCAACAGAGTACAGAGAGGTTCAGATCATTGGAGGGACTCTGATCAATATTTGCATTGGCTGTTAACCTTGGACTTTTCTCTTCACTTGGCATAAAAAAACAGGCAATTTATACTGAACTGTGTCATGCTTTCTATTGTGTGATTGTCAGACATTGTTGGTGTTGAAATGTTGCAGGACTTACAGTAGGAATGAGTAATGATTAGAAAACAGGTATGCCATGGTTCACATTTTGTATGAAGTATTTCTTTATGATCCAGATGTGTTCATTTACAATTCCAAACAGGGTGCTGGTGGAATATTCCAGTACCAATGAACCTCATATTTGTCCTGAGGTATACTTATATGAGGATGTACTTCCACTGCGGCATCATATCTCTGCTTTACTAATGAAGATGGTTTTATTTGTTTTGCAGCTCGTAGCTTCAATGTTCAGAAATCTGAAGCCATGATCAGAAAGGTGAGCTCTAACTTTAAACACAGATCAGTGGTGTGTTTTACCTTGTAAGGATGCAGCATGTGGTTAGTGAGCATGTTTGAAACCTGTCCTCTCTGTCTGCAGCATGTGGAGTTCAGGAGGAAGATGAACGTAGACACCATCATCTCTGACTGGAAACCTCCAGAGGTATGCAGGGCATGTTAACATACACTTTGTCTGGAATGTTTGAATACATTCATACAACTTACAGTAGATATCTTTACATTATAGCTCAATATGCAATCTAACTGATCCAAGAGGGTTTTTAAAAGGTTATCTAGATTAGGAAGTAGAAGAATATTCCTCCTTTAGTTTAACACAAACATTCAAAATCAACAAATCTGGAATTACATGTTTTCTTAGACAGGAATAAACTAATAACCAAAGCTCTGAGTCAAATAAAGTAAAAAGATGTCTTTCTAAGACAGATTAAAATGGAGTTGCATTAAGTACTTACATCCAATAAAATTCCACCGCTGGCAATACAAATGAAAATAAATATAGACTGTGTGTGTTTTCCTGTTTTAATCAGGTGATTGAGAAGTATGTGTCTGGAGGGATGTGTGGGTACGACAGGGAGGGGAGTCCCATCTGGTACGATGTGATTGGTCCTATGGATCCTAAAGGTCTCCTGATGTCGGCCACCAAGCAGGACTTCCTGAAGACCAAGATCAGACACACAGAGATCCTGAGGAGGGAGTGCAGGAGGCAGTCTGAGAAGGTGAGGGGACACTCTCCTCTCCTCTCCTCTCCTGTTTCCTCTCGTCTCATCTCGTTTCCTTTCCTACTTTCTGTCCTCTTGTTTAGTTTTGTCTCCTCTCCTCTTCTAATTTGTCCTATTACCTCATCCCCTCCTCTTTTCTCCTTCTCCTTTCTTCTCTTCTTGTTTCCTTTAATTTCCTCTCCTCTTATACATGTTTCCGCCCCCCATTCTCTCCTACTTTTTTCTTACATCTTACAATTGTTACCTCTCCTCTCCGACCCTCTCTATGTGTCCTCTTTGCATCCTCTCCTCTCTTGTTTCCTTTCCTCTGCTCTCTTTCCTTGTTTCGTCTTGCCTCCACTTGTCTTGTTGCCTCTCCTATCATCTTTTCTTAGCCAGGTTTCCTCTCCTCAATTCCTTCTGTAGTTTCCTTTTGTCTTTCCTCTCTTGTTTCCTCTTCTCTGCTACTCTCCTCCTCTCTTCCTCTGTCTTCTCTTGTTTCCTCTCTTCTCCTTGTTCTCCTCCTTGTTTCCCCTCCACTCTCCTAACCCTCGTCCCTCTCTGTCTCAGTTGGGGCGGCACATTGAATCTGTCTCTCTGATCTACGACTGTGAAGGACTCGGACTGAAACACATCTGGAAACCTGCTGTAGAGACTTATGGAGAGGTTTGACCACACTGTAACACAACATGTCATCACATTGAATTGATGTATTTCATTATAATGATCAACATTCTCGTGTGCAGGTCCTCACCATGTTTGAAGAGAATTACCCAGAGGGCCTGAAAAGGCTTTTTCTAATCAAAGGTGCTTCGGCAGATCTGAAGACTTTACATTTTCCAGACTTCTAGTTAGTGTTCATGATTGTCAGTTTGTGTCTTTGTCTGCAGCTCCCAAAATGTTTCCCGTGGCCTACAATCTAATCAAACACTTTATGTGTGAGGAAACGCGGCGCAAGATCTACATTTTAGGAAGTAAGACCACTTTTATTCAATCTGAAAGTGTACAAACAAGGCTAAGCGGCTAACATCAGCATGCTAACAGTTAGCAGCTGAAGGGAATGTCATTAGCTTTGCAGGAATTGGGTCTGGGTCATAAACTAAACTTTGAAATGTTTGACCTGATGATGGCACAGAACAATAGTTTACATGTAAACTACATAATGGAGTCCCATATCCTTGAACCTTAACCAATGTGTTGTATGCATTTCCTTCCTCATAAACCTTTGCCAATGCAAAGCCACGCTTTTAAGTATTCTAAATCAAGCATTGTTTAAATCTGTGTTCAGCAGTGGTGAAGGTGGTATACAGATTATTTGCTGCATTAAAAGTACTAATTAAACTGAGTAGGCCTACTAACTAACCACATTTCTCTGAGTAAAGGTAACTGGCAGGAAGAGTTACGTAAACATGTCGACCCAGACCAGCTTCCTGTGGCGTACGGTGGAAACATGACGGACCCTGATGGAGACCCTCGCTGCAGAACCATGGTGAAAGCAAACTCAAAACATCGATGGACCAGTAAGTGAGTCTCTTAAATGATTGTAATTTAAATTGTGGATGTTGTTTTGCAGATAAATTATGGTGGCACAGTTCCCAGGTCGTACTATGTGCTTGACTCGGTGAATGTTCAGTACGACAGCAGTGTGACCGTCAGCCGGGGCTCCGCCTTCCAGCTGGAGTACGATGTGACAGCCGCCAGCAGCCTGCTGAGGTACCAGACAACCAGCAGCTGTTAGAAGACACATTTAAGCTTTATTTATTGATCTTTAACAGCTCAAAAAATGGTCAACTTGATACTAACTTTACGGGAAATGATTAGAAACCTGATTTTTAAACACATATAGATTTGTGTTGACATATTATTTCATTCAACACTACCCTCCTCGAAAGAATTTAGTATTTGGACTTAAAAAATAAAATAAAACTATTAATAAACTCATTAAAATTCATCATTATGAATCCTAATTCCTCTCGGTTTAATTTCCAAGAACATCACTCTCTAGGATTTAACAGTTCTTTGTCTAAGAAACCGTTTTTTAAATATATTTAATTAATAATTTGGATAATTAATAAGTTGGCTCTTACCAAGTAACACCTGGATCAATATAAAAGAAATGTCAACAACAATTTAATGTGCAAACAAAAGCACATGCATAATACAAATGACTATTAAACTATTAATGAACACAGTTACAAATATTTTTCTGTTTGGTGCTTTGCATAATGTAGATCCTTTTTGATCTTTGATTACGTTTTCATACATAAATTACACACTCTGTCTGGCCCCTGTTTTTCTTCCAGGTGGCAGTTCACCAGTGACGGAGCAGACATCGGGTTTGGAGTGTACAGACGGACTAAAGAGGGCGGGGCTCAGAAAGTGTCTGAGATGCTGCAGGTTCTGCCCAGCGAGCGCTACAACGCTCACCTGGTGCCTGAAGACAGCTGCCTCACCTGCCCCGAGGCCGGAGTCTGTGAGTCTCTGATATATTATTTGAATATCATAAAAAATGCTTTCCATGAAAATCCTGAACGAGCTGTTTTACATTTAGGGAAATGTGCTTGTACAGTGAATATATGAAGCAACAGCCAGAAGGCACTTGGCATAAGACTAACTACATGGGGAAACAGTAAACTTGCCTCTGTCAAATTGAATAAACCCCACCTAATTAGCAAGTTATGTCTCATTTGATGAACCTGCACAAAAGTGTAAAAACTAGGGGTTTATGGCTGATATACCAGACTTTTCTTGGCTGGACACAGTGACTGTATGGTATACAGAAGAAATATTGCACTTAACCTCCATAAAACAACAATGTCGTTTTTTTTCTCTGTAATAAACAAACAACATATTCCATGTTAACTAGTCTGATTATTACTTTGCAGACATGCATATATAATAACCTGAATAATGGTCGCTGTTGTAACTTAGTGTTTTGTCCTTTTGTTTGTGCAGACGTGCTGTGCTTTGATAACAGCTACAGCATCCTGCAGTCCAAGAAGGTGAGCTACAAAGTGGAGGTGCTTCCTCCTGCGGACGGATGCAGCGTTCTTGCAGCAGACGAGGCAGGAGGCTGCGGTGATCGAGAGCTCAGATCCCCGTGCGACAGAGTTCACTGAGTGTTCATCCACAGCCAAATCAATGCTTTAGCATCAGGGCAGCATTAGCCCTCTTCAGGGCCCTAGGGCAAAACATTAGCCATGGCCACTGATTACATGTATCCCTCTGTGCACTGTGTATGTATAAGGTCACAGGCGGTAATTAGCCTGTGAAAACATGATCAGCAAACTGAGGACAGTCTCGGTTAGAGAATAGCTGGTAAAGATAGAGGAGCATTTATCAGTTGAGCAGACTTACCTCAGAAGTTGGAAGATTATTGTAACAGTATTGATTATAGCTGCTTCAAGTACAAGTCATTTCCAAATGTGTCTTTACGGACAAGAAACTGACTCAAGAAATCTACCAAGGGACAGTGAGCTTCTTCTCATACCATCTTTTCCATTTACGGACACCAGTTTCTGTGACGTTTAAGAAATCAGTTTACTGGCTGTTACCCAGTTGATGTAAACACGAATGAACTCTAACACTGTAGAGTTCAGGTCTACATTACTGCAGCAAAAGGATAAGTTACTCTTTAAGCACATTTTTAAAAATAATTTCTGCAATGTAAACAATAAAGTACAAGAATGTAGAATTTGACCTCAGAACAGAAGAGCCAGACGTTTAGGTTGCTGTCATACAGTATATCCATTAAGGTGTGGGTTTACTGTTCATTTAGATATGGTTACACACATTTCTTTACTTTTAACATACACAACTAAAATATACCATGATCTTCCAATTAGAAAATATATCACTCAGAACAAAGTTTTAAACTTTACCGACAACATATTTCACAGTTGTAGAAGTTTTAATAGGGATATATGTACAGGACAGATTGTCCTTTGTTTAATTAGTTTTTTTATAAGAACATGTCTCACCAGAATTTGAAAACAGAATCCCTAACATTATAAACTCATAATTTAAAGGTCCCCTATTATACTATTTTTCAACAATATATTGTATGTCTCAGATATAAAACATGTCTCTGAAGTGTTTAGCTTGTAATCCGAAACAGATCATGCATTGTAGCATCCCATAAACCCCTCTGTTTCAGCCCTGTTTCAAAAGTGCTGATTCTGTGTAGCTTTAAATGCAAATGAGCTGCCATTCCAAATGCCACTTGTTTTTTTTTTTAACCATGTTTGGTTGAAACACAATGGTGCTCTAGGAGGAGATTGGTTGGCGGTGGTTACGTTAGATGGTTCTTTACTAATGGTTTCACATCCCAGAAAAACTTTGTGACATCAACCGTATCCTTGTGTACGAAGAAGCCAAACGTCACACACAGACTAAGAAGACCAAAGGAGATAAAGTTACTGAATGACATCATTCATCAAATTCTGTTTCAGATGATTATGTTTCAATAATTGTGCGTTATGCTGCTCATATTGCATTAATCATGAGTCAATATCTGTTTAAATAAATGATGTTGATAATGATCTTGCTAAATCTCAGTCTACCCTTATAATCAACATGAAGTCATTAGTATGATATCATTTGTAAATTCATGTGAACGATATAATGAAGTCTATAACACCATTTCTACAACCTGATAATAAATACATATTAAACACAAAGCAATATATAGTTTCTGTCAATTATGACTCATTTATGGCAGATGTTTTGAAAATACAATATTCACTAATCAATCCGGATAAGTCCTATGTTATCAAGTGTTTAGCATGTTACACCAGAATCATTTGAACTGGCCTGACCACCAGGTGGCAGTAAGATGGGTTACTGCTTTAGGCTGTAGCACTTTGTCACTAAATATTGGACCCTTATAACAAAGATGGGTAAGAAATATTCCAATAATAAGAACAATTAGTTCCATTCAGGGATTATTTGGCCAAATAGTTAATGTCTTGCCTATAGGAGGAACTCAAATAAAGTGCTAAGGAGTTATTAGTAAGGGGGAGAAAAAAGCCACATACAAATAATAATAATAATAATAACAAGGAATACAAATAATAATTTGTGCCTTGTACAAATAATAATTTGTGCCTTATATTTATAAAAATAAAATGTAGATTACAATATCTATCAGCTATTACAACACACTAGATTATTATTATACGTTTTATGTTTACTATTACTATTAGACAGACAAAATCCCAGCAGCAGATAGTTCATCTCCGCACCCAGCAGACTGGGCTCTGTGCCAGAGGGATGCAGGATGGTGCAGGATGAGGATGAGGATGAGAATGAGGATGAGAATGAGGAGAGGTGGGGAAGGGGTGAGAAGGAGGGGGTGATGGGGGTGCACAGATGCCATGTGCCTTACATAACATCAGCTGGCTCCGGATACAATTGGAGGATGTGAAACCGCTGGCAGCAGCAGCAGCAGCAGCAGCAGCAGCATCCATGCGCTGTGTGCCGCATTGCCCCGAGACAAAAACAAGGCCGTGCAGAGGTGGGGAGGTGGGGGGTGGTGGTGAGTTGAGGATGACCATAGATTGTTAAAATAAAGAGGGGGACGTAGGGTGAATGCATCACTCACTCATGACAGAGTATCAAAATAAAGGAGTTGTGTATATGTGTAGGCCTATGTGTGTGTGTTTGTGTGTGATGACTAGTGAGGGGAGGAAGGGGGAGTTTGTTTATTAGCTCTATACCTGTCGCTGCCCGGTAGGCGGTGATAACGGGGGTGTGTGTGATGGGCGGCGGGGGGCGGAGCCGCTCGGACATGAGTAAATGACGTCAGGCCCTGGGTCGCCGAGCAGTGAAACAAACATGGCGACAGAATGGAGCGGGCAGCAGGGTTATATTCTCACTCTCATTATATTCCTGTGGAGCGCAGTCGGTGGCCGCACGGAGACGGCGGCTGCAGCGTCCGGTGTCAGCGGCAGCCAAGTGCTCGGCATGCGGCTGGAGAGGAGCGACAAGCCGTCCAGCACCAATGACGACGGTGTCATCCAGGTGACTGAGGAGAGCTCCGTGCAGCTCCGGTTTTACGGGGTGCAGCTCCACTCGGGCGCTTGGACGCAGATCCGCTTCACGGACCTCACGGATGTCGCAAGCGGTGGCGCGGATGAAGGTGAGGAGGAGGAGGATGAAGCGGTAAAGGCGGCGGCGAGAGGAGGAGGCAGTGGCATGATGGAGCCGCCGGACAGGACTTGTGTAGATTTCACGAAGGACATAAGCGTCGGGACCTTCTTGAACGTCAGCAGTCGAGGCTCGTCGGGGCTGCTTACCGTTAACATTAAGCCGCTCCGCAAGACCGAGCCGCAGAAGGAGTACGGCGTGTGCATCCGGAGCCGCGTGGAGGCTAGCAGGTGGGTGCTGCTGGGGGACACTGATGGCAAGCTGCTTGTGGTGGAGGAGAAGAGGTCCCTGCTGCCCTTATGGCTGCAGTGCATCCTCATCTCCTTCCTGCTGGTGCTCTCTGGGATGTTCAGCGGCTTGAACTTGGGGCTGATGGCTCTGGACCCCATGGAGCTGCGCATCGTCCAGAGCTGTGGTACCGAGAAGGAGAAGAAATACGCAAGAAAAATAGAGCCAATCCGTAGCAAAGGGAACTATCTTCTTTGCTCTCTGCTCCTGGGCAACGTCTTGGTGAACACCACCCTCACCATCCTCCTCGATGACCTGATCGGATCAGGTTTGGGCGCTGTGGTGGCCTCCACGGTTGGGATTGTCATCTTTGGTGAGATCGTCCCCCAGGCGCTGTGTTCCCGCCACGGACTGGCTGTAGGAGCCAACACCATCATGGTGACCAAGTTCTTCATGCTGCTCACCTTCCCTGTGTCCTTCCCCGTCAGCAAGCTGCTGGACGTCCTGCTGGGTCAGGAGATCGGCACCGTGTACAACCGGGAGAAGCTGGTGGGGATGCTGAGGGTGACGGAGCCCTACAACGACCTGGTGAAGGAGGAGCTCAACATGATCCAGGGCGCTCTGGAGCTCAGGAACAAAACTGTAGAGGATGTCATGACGCCCATAGGAGACTGCTTCATGATCCAGGCGGATGCTGTGCTGGATTTCAACACCATGTCTGAGATCATGGAGAGCGGGTACACTCGTATCCCTGTGTACGACGACGAGAAGAGCAACATCATGGACATCCTGTACGTGAAGGACCTGGCGTTCGTGGACCCCGATGACTGCACCACCCTGAAGACCATCACCAAGTTCTACAACCACCCTGTGCACTTTGTGTTTCATGACACGAAGCTGGACGCCATGCTGGAGGAGTTCAAGAAAGGTGTGTAAACATGTGTGTGTGTGTCTTCTTTTAACACTGGAGCAGGTGATTCCTCTGAGGAACCTGCAGATGAATCACCTGCTGTAGGGTTTGTTTCCGGCCATTACTGCATCCGCATAAACCCTTTGTGTGTCACCCCCCTCCCCCCCCTCCCTCAAAATGCTCTGTCTGTATTGATCAGCACTATTGACAGCTGGAACATCACAGCCTACTTTTAAGCACTGGCATGCAACAAAACAAATGTTATGCAAAGTGCAACACAGATCCACATATCAGACCCTGTCATCCAGCTGTGGTCCTGATGATACACACATTCCTCTTCTTCATCCTCACCTTCTTCCTCGTCAGTGTATATCATGATTTTCTTCACTACATCAAAGTGTATTGTGCCCTTGTGTATTTTTACTAAACTTCAGTAGCCTATCAGTCAAGTCAAGCCTCTCTGTTCTTTTATTATCAATAATTATAACCCAAAAAGAAAGTCAATTGAGAGAAGCTATTCAAATCCTAAACATGTTGACTTATTAATATATAAAAAAGCAAGAAGAAAACCAGAAAATATTCATATTCGAGAAGCTAAAACCTGTGCCTGTTCTTAAAAATGGAAAACTTTTTACAGCCAGGAAAAACTGCTGAATCATTTTAGTCTCAGTCTTAGGTAGTAAACAAGAAGGGGAAAACTGTTGACAAAATGCATAAACAACACAAATCATGTATGATGAAGAGGCACTGCAGGAGCGTTTGAAGTCTGCAAACTCTGTATGTTATACCATGTGTTTTTTTCTCAAATTGGCATCAGTGTTTTATTTAATCTGGCAGCGGGTTTTTATCTCCTGTAAACACTGCAGCAGCGGATATCACTAATGATCATCTGCCACCAGAGAGCAGGAACTAATCAGGGAGTGCAGCTAATGTGTATGATGGGATCAAAAGTGTGCATGTTCAGGCGCAATGGATTAGTGCTGGAAATATCAGCGCTGATATTTAAACCTTGAAAGCTGGTATTGTGACAATGAAGCACCAGCAGAGAACTGAAGCTTGTGTGATGATGATGATAGTAATGTTTATATTTCAAGATATCAAATGCTTTCCTTCACATTCGTTAAGCAGCCAACACTGCAAATACACACTTGATTATTCGTTTTGGAATCAGTCATCATTCATAAAGCTGTGCATTTGCTTGTATTCTGTGTAAGAAGTCATTGTTGATCTGCGTACATGCACAAGCCTCATTTTTAGACAGAATGTAGACACACCCGTAGTGCACTCATTTGCTTTACAGTACTTCTGCCATCTTTCCAGCCTTTCATTTGAAAAGAGGAACTGCATGATCAGCTGTCAGAATGAAACCAGCATGAATAGTGGCTATTTTTTAGCACTTTGGTTTTTTGTGCAGGAGTATCATTTATACATCTTGCCTCAGGTGTTGACAGCTTCTGTTTCCACATCTCAAATATGTTTTGTTAATAATGACTGCAAAGATAGTATACCCAAAGTAATATGATTGTTTCCCTCTTGTTTTAAATTCTTAGAAAATACATGATTTGATGAAAGATGGTGGGATATAAATCATCAAAATAGCTCTTAAAGAAACTCTCTTTTGAAAGTCATGTGATCTGTAACATTTATCCTTTTTTTAATAGGATTTTTTGCCAATTACAGTATTTTCTGGTTGATATTCCAATTAACTGTACCATGAATAAAAGAGAAGAGGGAACAGTGTCCTTCAAAACATTTTCATTGCCTATAAGGAAACACATGAAATCCTCACTTGTAGTATTATAAGCTGGATAATTGGCTGAAAACAGAAAACATATCCGTCACAAAACAAGTACTTTAACTTCAAGGTTGAAGGACACATGCCAGCTAATATTAGTCCTGCTGAAGTCACTATGTGAGCCTGCTGCAGTGGCCTCTGACCTTCCTGTGGGGGGAGGGGGACACACAGTTTGCATCAGGTCAGTGTGCTCATGATGATGAAGATGTCAGAGGCTATTGCTTTGTGCTGAGTCGTACGGTGTCCCTGAGAGCTCAGCACATCAGAAGCACATCATGAAAACACAGACAAAGAGAACATCTCATATGCAGCAGCATTTAGAAAGAATGTGAGAGACAACAATTAGACGTATAGTAAGAGCTGTGATGCATTTGAGGGCGTTCGATCAGTATGTCTCATGCTCTTGCTAATTAGCCAGTAGTTTACACCAGGCATTTTTTGTGTACAGAAAGTCCTCATGCTATGCAGTTGGAGGAACAGCTAAATACTTAATTGGATGTAATATTAAGTATAAATAATATGTTAGTATTTTGAACGAACCTTGGTTGTTGCTGTGTCTCAGGAAGTTATGTCTTAGTTACTATTAAACAATGCCATTCAAAG